GGTTCTCGAGATCAAGAGTGGAATAGTCAAGAAAAGTGGCCAAGAAAAATCTCTGGAAATTATTTTCAAGTTTCCAGGACAGCCCCTTGAAGGCGTGATTGCATTGGCCAGTTTAATAAACGGGATTTCATGAAAATTTGATATATCAAGACATATCAAAAACACTTTTTTCATGTTCTCGAGTTCATTTCCAATTTTCGATCAAAAAAATTGCGCTAGCTCTTTAAATGAAAGAGGGAGGGAAGTATGAATAGTACTTTGAAAAAACTCCCATTACTACAGTTTGGTGTAACGGAATTAAGCAATCTTGGTCTCATTATGAAGGGTTTTTTTAGATCTTCCCGATAAATCATGAATCAAGTTGATTTAAATCCCGTGGTGGCCGCTAGATGGCATCGTTTGAAAAATCAGCCGATTTGCCATTTTTTTTCGAGAATTTCAAATGGAACCATATATTTCTCCTGCTATGATATGAAAGTGAAGTAAACGAGATGAAAAATGGTGAAAACCGCGAGTTGATACCTCTTGAAGAACCGGAGAAATACTCGGAATAATATTAAAATTTAAACTGTTAGCATGTCAAATGCCTCCTCATTCGTTATCGGCAATTTGACAAATAAGCAATCCACAGTGAAAACTTCAATTATACTTTGACGTTTCTTTCATTCAAAGCCAACTTGCCTTTTTTCATTCCTGAGCCTATACTCACTACTTACATTTCAATTAGCTATGTCATTACTAAGAGTCTCCTTCACTATTGTGAGATATAACAGCAGTTTGTGAAACCAAAATAAATGAATTATTGAAATCATAATTTCATAGATACAGGATATTTCTGATGACGATTATTGAAGTTAGATTCCTGTGGTCAATATTTTCATAATATTATTTCAAGTATTTCACTGGTTCCTCAAAAGGCATCAATTCGCGGTTTTCACCATTTTTCTTCTAGATTGCTCTACTTTCATATTAGAGTAGAATGAATATATGGTTCCATTTGAAATTTTCGAAAAAAATGGAAAATTGTCTGACTTTTCAAACGATGCAATCTAGCGGCCACCACAGGATTTCAATCGACTTGATTCGTGATTCATCTGGAAGAACCAAAAAAATCCGAAATAATGAGACCAAGATCGTTGAATTCCGTTACACCAAACTGTAGTAATGGGAGTTTTTTCAAAGTACTATTCATCCTTCCCGCCCTCTTTCATTTAAAGAGCTAGCGCAATTTTTTTTTGATCGAAATGATTGAAGAACATGAAAAAAGTGTTTTTGATATGTCTTGATATATAAAATTTTCATAAAATTCCGTTTATTAAACTGGTCAATGCAATTACGCCCTCTAGGGGTTGTCCTGGAAACTTGAAAATAATTTCCAGAGATTTCTCTTGGCCACTTTTATCATGAATATTTTTTTCCGAAACCTGTGCGGCAAATAGTTTCCGAGATACAGCCGGCGTTCTTTCTTAGTGGTACACCCGGTACATACTTACAATGGGTGTAAAATTTGTCCATTAAACTCATGGGTAGAAATTAAAATAGGAGTGATTTTTGTATTTTCAAAATTACTTATACTTATAAAATAATATTCATCCATTAAACAGATCGGTGAAGGTCAAGCTTACTTCGGATCTTAGACTAAAATGAACTCGTGATGATTTCGCGTTTATTTACTTCTCTCATAGTATTTAGTAATAAATCTTCAAATTAAAAATTGACATGGACAAGAGGCAACGAGATATATGCAAATTTCGAAGTAGTATAATCATCATGACTCTGCAGTACAAGTAGGTACATGTACAATAAGTATTATGCTTAATGATGTACCGTGATACTTATGAAGGTTAAGTCAGAATATTATAAATAAGTATATTATATAACACATATTTAATGGGTAAAACAACGAACTGAGTATCACCTGCAACCATTAAAGCGGCTAAATGGTATGTACCTAGATATTGAAATAGTTATTTATACACCAAGGTAGTAAAGAATACCATTATACATCCGAGGGGTATAAGGTCTCGTGGTAAGAATTCTATTACTACCACGGTGGATATTACATTTTTTCACCACTAGCAATATATTTCAATCATTATAGTTCTGTGAAACTGAAATATGGACCTATTCCCACGATTTCTAGAAAACCTTTCTACCAACAGAGTATGGTTATCATTATTCTCGAAATAGTATATTATGTTACAAGTGTTATAAACGTCCTTTTAGTAACGAGTATTTTAAGCACGAGCGGAGCAGAGCGGAGCGAGTGTTTAATAAACGAGTGTCTAGAAGAGTTTATAAACGCGTTACATACTATGCTTTTTCTACGAACCCCAAAAATTACATTAACATACCTGCTATTCCCGCTAACCTACAAAATAATTCGAAAGGAATGGGAATTGAGAACATAATACATGCAACTGCATGCAACCATCGAGACACGTATGAGTGATATTGGTTGTAGATGTGTCCAGTCCATTGCTTGATAATCTTTGGAGATGGATGCTTCATTTTTACACTTCTTTGAGATATATGCAAGTACCAGAACATTCTCTTCGATTTCACTTTCGTCTACTTTTCGCATATATTTTTAATGAAGAATTCTGATACAAACGAATATTGTTTGAAGAATTCTGATACAAAATTCGAAAATAACAGTTGACAGTTAATACAATTGACAGGCCAGACATTTGTCTCAAATTACTGAAGCTGTTTTTAATGAACTGCGTTGCCATGGTAATGTGTTTAAGAAATCGTGTTGTCATATGGTAACGTGTTTAATATTTTGAATAAATCACAGATCGACAATCCGTGATTAATCGATCATTTAGCGTGGTACATATCCGTACGCTAAATGCCATTTTAGTTATGTGAGTAGAAAAACAATGTTTTCTGCTAACGGGAGACTTTTCACATGGGCTTTGGGGCTATTTTAAATTGCACACCATCATTCATCACCCTGTGGTCTTCCAGTTACAAATTTTCCAGTCGATCAATTAAATCAGAAATTCAGAAATTACGCGGCTTCTAATAAGAGTGAAATTATGCATCGTTACGTTTCATTTGTTGAGCAGTTTAGACTATATAGTGAGACAACGTGTCTCAAGACCACTGATTCCAGACTTCGACCAAGTGTTCGTTAAACAATGCTCTTTGTGTCCAAGGGACAGAGGTTTTGTAGTAAAACTTGGTGGGAAAATTGACCATACAATCTTAATGGACATTAGTCTATTTGATTCAGCAAACCCATAAAATTTTTTTGTTTGTTTAATGAAATTACCGCCAATAGTAAATTTAAATACTGAATCAGCAAATTCGCTAATGGGTATAATGAATTTTTGGTTCAAAAATGTCATTAATTTCTAGAACTTTTACTATCAGCATTCTCCTTTAATGGCTAAGAATGTTTCTATACAGATTTCCTGGACTTCTCAAGTTATAATTTAGGTTTATTATTTACTTATATAAATAGACTGTAAAATTTCAGAGCTGCTGAGCAAAATTCACAGAAAAATTTAATTTTATTATGTACTTCTCATTACTCATCGGGTTATCGTTCTTAAGACCTCTTCTCTCAATATTCCCCACTAATGCCAATGTTTTTTACTTGAGATAACTTGTTCAGTCAACTGAAATTCAGTCTTAGTTAGTCAAAAAATGCTCGGGATAGCTAGTGGTCTCGAAACATTCGAAGGTAGGTGACTTATAATAAACATATCCTCTATAAATAAGACCAATTGTTTTTTATTTATACTACCTGAAGTCAAACAATAACTGGGCTATTTCGAGTCATTACGAATGGATGCTACAAAATCAGACAACAATCTGTATGTATCAATGTATGTAAGAGAAATAACATTCAAAAATTAATTTTCTCATCTTCTTCTTGAATTTTGAATCATTTTCAAATAGGGTGAAACGGATATTACAAAATCAGAAAACTATATGTCATGTCCAGTGAAGTGTCTTCTACTCATTACAGTAGAACTGATGATGAAATTCATAGTATTTCCACTTCTTATTCGATGTGAGGGAGTTTTATAGACATCGTTTCTCTGCGGCCTGCCTTTAGAGTTCTGATTTGTTGGTGAATGGTATTGCGTTGCTCTTCTCACACTGGTCGATTGATTGAGTGATGATTTTGTCTCCCTTATCACAGTGCAATTGGTAATACAAAATATTTCTGATGGGCTCTGAAAAGCAACATCAGTAATCATAATATAGACAGTAGGTACGCCATTTTTTTTGTGATGGATACAAATTTTAGAAAATTGCCAGCAAAAGAAAATGAGAAAGACTTGCAGCATTTCAATTATGTAGTACAGAACACGATGTACCATATATATAATTGACCAATGATTTTATAAATAATCGATCAAAGTATTTCTATAAATATATGCTGAAAACAGCGGTCATTGTTGGCTATTTTTAAGATAAATTGGCTAGACTGTAGTTTTACAACTAAAGTTGTTGACCCAATTGAAATCTACGTCCGTTCATTTGTACTCATAAATTATATATCATTATGCATTTAACCTTCCTTTCATTCATTTATCAAGAAAGAGGAAATAAACAGACAACTTAAAGTCTCCAAATGTTGAATCTTCCCTTCCTTCCAATTTAAACGAAAGAATATACCGTATCTTACAGAGTATAGGAATTTTTTAAACGTCCAGTGGAATGAAAGTACTTGTTTGATATCTCGTTTAATATAATTCCAAGCAATACAGGTGAAGTAATTATAATAAGGCTGTAGAAGAGTATTCCATTTTTATTTTCACGATATTTCAGGAACCCGTATTTTCACATTTCCTTTAATTATTTGAACAAGTCTCAATGTCGAACGCAAAAGCGTCTACATTTTCCGCGCATTTTTCAAATAAGTTTGTCTTAATTATTCTGGAATTGAAGCCAATCAACATTATCAGAATTACATTCATTATTTTTATCGATTAATTACCTACTGTATGCTATATTCTGTACATATAATTTTGTTTCAGGGTTAACCGCTGCTTTTGAACAATTTGGAAAGACACATAGTAATGTCTGCGATGGTAAGTTATATCATTTCGATATTCTCTGCCTCCTCGTCTATAAATAAATATACAGTGCTTTTCTTCAATATCTCCCCTGTTTATTTTTTGAACGGGTCAATTCAACAAATTGAAACTTGGGATAATTAAATTGATGCATGAATACTATATTTTGGAATAAAATTGACAAATGAAAATTACAAGATGCCTGTCTTGTGAGACATCCTTTTGAAGCTCCTGACGAATATTTATTATTCTCTGCCGTATATCCAATATTGAAGCAGGTTCAGTTTCGTACACTTTTTTGTTCAAATAGCATCATAGAAAAAGTCGAAAGGTGTCAAATCTGGCGAGCGAGTTGGCCATTCTGTAGTTTCTCACTTGTCTAGAGTAATGTGGTGGTGCTCAATCTTGTTGAAATACAATATCCATATCGAATTCATTAGGATTTGCTTCGACGATTTCGGTGATTAGAGGGTCGAAAGTATTTTTCAGAATATTCAAATCCAGTTCCCTTGTTGAATTTTGTTCAATGAATAGATATCGATGTTTTCGTATTCAGGCAACTATGTCCCGCCATTTCGTAGTAGGGTTGTGAAGTACTCGTACTTTCCATTTTTTTTTTCTCAGATGTCGCCATCTTCAAATTTTCATCTGTCGATTTCACTACAAAATATAGTATTCATAAATCAATTTCATTATCCTAAATTTCAATTTTTGCAGTTGACCCTTTCAAAAAATTAACGGGGAGGGGGAGGGCATCAAAGAAAAGCTCTGTATGTATCATTTCGATCCTTATCAGATGATTCGTCCTAAGACGTCACTGCGTTAGAAAATGTCTCTATTGGGAGTATTGGGAACGAAATAGAAACATTTTTATATTCTTTTTCGGCCGTTAAATGTTCCATAACAACACGATATTTTGGGATTTTTTTGTAGAATTACTAGGGCCGTGGTTTGTTCTTCCCTAGGATTCAAAATGTAATTTTCAGCGGGATTACGAGAATTCTTGAACGACACTCAAATAACGGATTCGGTTGTTTTAATCCTCGGCTGTATGTATCACTGTATCTATCACTGTATGTATCATTTCCTTATCAGATGATTCGCCCTAAGACGTCACTGCGTTAGAAAATGTTTCTATTGGGAACGAAATAGAAACATTTTTATATTCTTTTTCATAATCCCATACTGTTAATTTGATTCAACGGTATTCAGATGACAATTGAAAAGTTAATGTCAACAGCCTCTGTCCGTTAAGATTGTTTAACGGCCGGCGGCCGTTAAATGTTCCATAACAACACGATATGTTGGGATTTTTCTGTAGAATTAAGGTGCGTGGTTTGTTCTTTCCTCGGAATCAAAATGTAATTTTCAGCGGGATTACGAGAATTCTTGAACGACACTCAAATATCGGCCTTGTAACATTAATAACTATACCCTGGTCATAACATTGTTTGACAACATTAATTTCTTATAGGAAACCAAACCACGGAATGGTTCAACGGAGCTTGAAAGCTTTCTACCTCATGACAACTCTTCTGTAAATGTAATTACAAAGTAAGTACCTACTGTTTTGGCATCAATGTTAACTGTGATCATTGAGAAACGCCTAATTACTTACTGCATTAACTTATGAATGCTGCAACCATTTTTGAAGGCGAATGCGTTGACAGTGCTGCCAATTTTCTATTTGGGAGTACATAAGTATGTCTAAATTGTCAAAAACTAATAACCTGCTTAGTAAATCATGGTATATCATATCTCGTGCAGAGCGATAAAATGAAAAATTAATAATAATGCTTAGGAATGTTCCACACATCTATCGCAGTATATTTAATGTAATTTGACTACTATGATTTGGAACTATAGAAGTACGTTTGTATTTTAGAGATACTTTTATGTATTTTATGTTATTTCTTCATTCTCATAATTTAATGCACTGCCATAAAATTTTTGATGATTCCCATTTTTTTTTTCCTTACGGAATTACGAGACGTTACGAGTTTTAGTATTGTGTTTTTTCTAAGCAAAGCAAACCGAGACAATAAAGGAAGTCAGCAGACAAAATTGTTATGTTTCTAGTGGGTTCATTTGAATAATTGGTAAGCACCGTAAAAAAGTACAGGGTGATATATCTTTATGCAAAAAAGCAACCGTCTTGCTCGCTGGAAATTATAGATCAAGTCTAATAATTGCTTAATTAGTCCAGTGGATGTCTAATAATTGTCCAAATTTTATTGAATTCAGCTCGAACACTTTTGAGCCTCTTCAATAGAAAACTTGCTTTTGATTATGAACCTATAGCAATAACCTATAACTCGAAAAGGAATCATTTTTGGACTGAACTTCATATGAATTTATTACCACAACTCTTGCAACACTCAGATACCCTGTATATTTGCGGAAAAGTTCTAACCAGTGAATTGAATAAGGTATCCATGGCCGTATTACAAAATATAGAGTGGAAACTAGGAATCCAGCATAATACAAGAACGTCATGAAGCCATTTTGTGTAGCGTACACAAAGATATGTTTCTTTTCTAACAAAACTAGTTCATCATTCTACAGTTTTCGGATACTGAAAAATAAACCCAACTTGTTATTTTCAGGTACAAAATATCCAACGGTAATGACTTGGAATTAGCTAATACTGAATTCGATCCATTTAAATCCAGACATCTAGAACACCCAGTTTCGTAAGTATTTTATTTTTAGATCTTTGTTTTTTGAATTTCCGCGAGAAATCACACATTACCTATGATTATCTAAAAAATAAATTGTGTCTCTTTTCTATTGAAACATTCAGATAGCTTCAAGTTTTCAAAAGCAAGAATGTTATTGCCTCAAAATTCGTAGACTACCTATTGATTGACTTTTTAAATGGTCATGAATCATTATGCTTATCATATAATTATAAGTAAAAAATGAAAAAATAAAAATGAACATATGTTGTAGTGCTTCCAATACGTCTCAAGAATAGTTTACATACACCTCCTTGTATAAAATGGGTCAAAGTTGTACCATTCAACAGATTTGAAAAATATTCTGAAGATACCTATAATGTGATAATCATTCTCTAAAGCATTTTGCTGTTAAGAATCCGTATTCGTATGTTTCGATTGCTTTTTGGCTAGTAAGATTTGGATATTTACTAAGAAAAACTTTAGTTGGTATTGACTTTTTGATTTCAGTGACTGTGATACACTTACCCACCTCCTCAAGGCGTCTCTTGGAACAGGAATTTTATCTATGCCAGCAGCTTTCTACGCTTCTGGATTAGTACTAGGAATATTTTCTACTATACTAGTATCAGTTATCTGCACACATTGCTCATACATCTTGGTAAATATTTTTGGATGTAATGTAGATGAAGATTTCCAATGCATTAGAAAATTTAATTGATACACGCGATAGATGATCAAGTATCTAACTGGACTACTCTACATTGACCCGTACGCACTTTGTAACTGAAACGCGTCCGATTTTAGCCAGAAGCAGGCTCACTGCTCAGTGCTCCATCAGTATGAAAATTGTATGTCTGATTCATCAGTTGATATTACGACGTTCCATTGCATAAGAAAAATCATTTGCTGCAATGAATGTAACAAAATAAATACCATTTCAAAATTTGAATCTTCTTTCCTTTGAACGAACATTTTAATTCGCAAGAAATTAAGCAATTTATTCTCAACCGTAAACAGTGTTGCCAGTTGCTGTGAATAGACTGTCGCAAACATTCATAGAGAGAGTCGCCAGAAGTCGCTAGTGAGCAAGTTTTTTCGGGATTCAGAGACATTTTCGATCGTCCAGTTTTCCTTTCATTCAATTGTTTCGTCGTCAGAGATTCAGATCATCAAAGTTGCGTCAAAAAACTACTTCAACAATGTAAAAAACTGCACATTTCTGACATGTTGCTATATAAAAAAAAGTGTGAAAAACGATCGAAGTTCGACACGTCTCGAATCGAGCTCAAATATTGCATTGACTTATCCTGAAAACGGTATATTAAGAGACAAAATCGCTGAGACGGCAACACTGCACGTAAATTGTGATCGAAGCAAACCATCTGCAAGAGGAGGAACAGTGGTTCAGACGAATAGTTGATCATCTATCGCGTTGAACTTTGTGCTGGTCGACTGGTTGGGAGATATACAGGATGTAACAGGATCATGGTACACCAAACCATTTTGATGAACTTAATTTGGTGATAAATCATGAAATTTTCCATTTTTGACAGGATTCATTTCTTTCAAGTATCTCACCTGTCGATATGAGTACATCAGACTTGATCAGAATAGTCATGGCACACTCAGATGGATAATCAAAAATGAAATTAAAATCAATATTGAAGTTTGAAATGTCACTTATGTGGTATCATTGGATTCAGAGAATGATGTAGAATTCGAAAAGGCAATGATATACAGAGTGTTCCATTTGAAAATCTGAAGTTATAACCACTTCCGGTGAAACCGGGAGTAGAAAATGAAATATTTTTATGTCAAAACATGACGTTCATCAAGTTGATGGGTCATTCCAAATTTCAATCACTTATCTCTAAAGCTAAAAGATAAAAAGGGGGTGTACCATGATCTTGTTACACCTGGTATAGTTCAAATGCATTGGAAATTCTATATGACGGCAATTTTTGTCTACATCTGTATATTAGACTGGCCGGTAATGACAGATTTTGTGCAATTTTTTTTTTCAAATGTATGCGTACACATTCGCTGTTTTAATTTTTTAAACATGCACTTTTTTGTAATCACAATTGAAGTGCATGTTTAAAAAAGATCACTGCGCAAGTGCACTCAACGAGTGTATGAGGTACAGTTGTGTGCATAAACAAGTTGTACATACAAGGTTTATATGGTGTAAACCTGCCTATGATATTCCAGATTTCATTGAAAAGTAGTACTTTTTTATGTTCTGGTTCCCACTGAAAGGAATATCCTGTAATGTTCAGAGAACATCGTGAGAACCAAGGGAAATGAGGTAGATATTGGTGTTCTCCTTGAATTTCTGGAGGTTATATGTCTCGGGGAACACCTCCCTTGGCAATATGTTCCAGAGCCTCGCTGTTTGTTGGATGAACGAGTCTTCGGAAAGAGATGTTCTGCAGGTCTCCAAAGTGACCATGAAGCGGTGCGAAGCCTCAACTCGACGGGTTAATCTCGCAGGGACTGCCAAGGGAGGAACAATTGTTGATATTTCAGAAGAGCATCGTCCATGAGAATATATATATAAAATAGAGCCAGATCGCCAACTTTTCTACGGTGTTTTAGAGGAGTGAGTGAGTTTGTGAGCGAGGCATCACCCACGAGACGAATTGCCCTATTTTGGACAGAATCCAATTGATTCAGGGTATTTTTGGGCGCTGGACTGGAAGTGAAATAGCTCCTGGCCCGAAAAAGAAAACCAAGTTTTTGGGATGCACTTTCAGCAATTGATCTCACGTGATTTTCCCAAGAAAGGTTATTGCTGATATTAATACCAAGCATCGAAATGGATGCCTTCAAAGGTATGGTTACTCCTGACAAGCGTATGTTGGGCACAGTGAGATCGGCTTTTCTAGAGAAAAGTACACGTACACATTTGCGCGTTACTGACAAAAATAGTTTGAATTTTGACACTACTTGTGAAAGTGGACAAGCAGATTAATCAAGATTGACAAGCCTGACTCACAATAGCCAATAACTGCTGTACGACCTGTTTATGCACACAACCGTACAAGGAACAACAAAAATGAGTCTGCGAAAAAACATGTGTTAAATAATTGTTCAGAAATACCCTCCTCTTGTCCCTCTTTACCACATGTTCAGTTGATGATTTAAGGACTTCCTACACGAGGTCGGCGTATGCAATTTTTTCCGCGGTATCATTTTCAATATTCAACAAGAAACAATTGTAAATTCAAAACACTTCGTACGTGCTTTTTATGTAAATAATGTCTCTATGCGTTGTTCTAATTTGTTGAATTTCAGAGCTCATTTCAAACATACCGCCATGACCGCCATTTGGCGATACATCGAATAAATGGTGACGTCAGTTGTTACGCTGTTTCTTTATTGGTCAGATAATCTTCCATTCCCACTCATAAAGCAAGGTTGTCAAGTCACCAATTATAATCAAGTTATTAAAAAGTTGTTAGAGTCATGTGGTTGAACAAAACCTTCATCCAAATTAAATATTTCATTTGACCTGATAGGAGGAAGCCATGATATTATAGTAATTCATTTGTGACTTTTTCGAGCAACCAGCTTGTTGAAATATTTCTCATACTCCATAATAAAGCATCATGTAAATGTAGGCTAGAGACTTGGCAATGCTGTGCTGAATGCTGAGAACTGACAAGACAACACCCACAATCCTGTGTTGTCACGTTCACCGTACCAAATGTCCTCTAGTGTGAATTATTAGGAATTAATATAATTATTATCAACACAAAATTCATCATAAACAATAAGCCTCAACACATGAAAGGGACATTTCAACACAATTGATTTTTTTATAGTCATTACTGGCCAGGCTATATTATAAACAAGAGTGATTGGATGTCAATGTTTTATTTTAGGTTGTATGCGCTCATGAACTATATAAGAAAGCGGGAAAGACACAGATGGGGTTTGCCGATATAGCTGAAGAGGCTTGCTTAAGAGGGCCAGCTTGGGGTAAAAAGTTCGCAGGATCTGCAAGGTATGTAATACCTTTGTCAAAAATATTTAGTTTTCTCTCCGAAAAAGTTAAAAGTCATGGACTCAATTTTTTTCATTATAATTCGAAGGAATTTGTTATCTTCTTTTTTGGGGTCATTTCCAAAAATGTTTCATCAAGAATACCATGACCAGGAGAATGAACCCTCCAAAAATTTGCTAGAAGTTTCAATTATATTCCTGAGTCCGCTACTGTTGATTTTTTTTTATCAAAATGTTATATACATGAAGAATGTATCCATGTTAATCATTCTTATTCAAATTTAGTTCAGTTATGAGATACCAAGTCGGAATTTATGAATTCCGGGATACTATGTCGGAATTCCGACTTAGTATCTCGGAATCGTTAAAAATAATTGAGCTTTTTTTTACATTGAACGAGAGAGAGGAAAGCTCTCCAGTTCCATATTCCTCTTCAATGCTACCAACGTGGCGGCATTGAAATATAGAGAGGTCCGATAAATCTTTCCTTGTCTAACATCTAGTCAACCCCACTGAACTATTTTCGATGTCATAATAAATGGCATTGACTGATAACCGTACGAATTTTTAAATGGTATTTCAAATTATATCCAATCATGTCATACTCAGTTTGTTATTATCGTTGAATTGATACTCTGCTGAATTCGAAAATAATGCAGTGGCACAAACTAGTTGTTAGACACGGAAAGATTCATCGGACCTCTCGATATTTAAATGCGGCCACGTTGGTAGCATGGAAGAGAAAGATTGAATAGGAGAGAACATTCCTTTCTCTCTCCTTCAAGGTAGAAAAGAGCTCAATTGCGGTGACCCTTCAACGCCTTCGTAATTTTGTTATAAATGTCCTATATTTTTCAGGCAGTTGGTATTAGTCGGAATATTTGTGACATATTTCATGACATGCAGTTGCTACGCGGTGATAGTAGCGAAAAACTTCAATTATGTCGCTAATCACTATCTGGGATACACAGTCGAAATAAGGATAACGATCGCCTTACTATTGATCCCTCTGATTCTGTTAGCATACGTTCCCAATCTGAAGTACTTAGCGCCAGTTTCCATGCTCGCCAACGGATTCATGGCTGTAGGTTTGGGAATCACCATGTACTATCTTGTAGCCGATATCCCTCCGATTTCCGAGAGAAAACTAGTTGCTGATATAGCCACTTTTCCGGTGTTCTTCAGCATCACCATATTCGCCATTGAAGCTATAGGAGTGGTATGTGTACTAAACTTATTACTTGGAATTGTTATAACCTCATAGTAATCAGTTAAATATGGTAGATTGTTTTATTAGGATCAAAAGTGACACTTTGATTGACAAGTAAATTTTGTATTTGCGAGGCGGAGCGTCTAGGGAAATCGAGCGAAAGCAACATTTGCGAGTCAAACAAAGTCACTTTAGATAAGAATGATACATGCTATTTTTTCTACAACCGAAAGAATTAACTAAAATGAATATGTGAAGTTACCACCAATGTCACTTGCTTGACAGATTATTATAATACCTTTATTATAATAAAATAGGTAAGTAGAGAGAAGCAAGACCTCCGACTACTTCACACATTAGAATATTGGTGGACGATGACTTCACTTTGTTACAATTTGTGTTGACATGCATTATCAGATACTAAAGGCACGAATTCAATACTATACCTGAAACGTGGATGCCGTGCCATTTTTATGCAATGCAACAAATAATATAGTACCTGCATTTACAGATCAGATGCAATTTTCAAGGATGTTCGATTTGTTGTTTCAATATACATATAACCGCAGAGTGACCCATTTCTGTATTCTATCGAATCGATAAATTTATTTGGACTAGGTGTTTGCCCTAATAGCAAATACCGCGCCAGTGCCAGATATAGGAAAAAGAAGTGGAAAATGTTAGGTTAGTGAGCAAATCAACAACAATAATAGCGATTATTTATTTCTCTCCATATTCCACTGTATTTGGCATGGTAATCAAATGGAGGTAAACAATATCGTTGTGTGAAAGAAGTTAGTTACAAAGTTCCTAACCTGATATTTTACAGGTGCGTAGAAATTTTATCTAGTGGCGGTCTTGTTTGAGGTCTTGGTTTTGTTGATGAAGAGCAAGTTATGAAAAATATTGAAAATTTCAAATGACCTCATCAAATGACCTTATTATCATGGCGCAACAGGTGAATTTATTGATCGAAATCCCGATTTATCTACCGGGTGTTTCTCAAAAGTGGCTCACCCCTATGAATTCTGTGTTTATACAGATGAACAAATTAAATTCGGTGTGTAAGTATAGTACATGGATATGCATCATTTGGCGTATTCAATTGTTGTTTATCACATCCGATTTGACCGGAAATGACTCATAGTTTCTCATTTTAAATGGGTCACCCGGTATATTTTTACTTATTTCGATAGAGAATAACATTGTGAGTACAATGAAATTTTCAATTTCCATTTTAGAGTGCTATGATTGAGTTAAAACCAGTTGATTTTGAATCATGTTGCCTTGAAAAAATAGTTTTAATGAAGTTTTACTTTTTATTTGTTCCACAGGTTGATTCAAAATTTACAATATCGTAATTTTGATGTTAACTTAATTTGTTCAAATAGAAGGATGGCTCATCACCATAGCTGAAAACGATATTTTGTTACGAACAAGTTGATACCACATAATCGATATTTTGAATCAATATCCATTTATCATAATCACTCTAGATTGAAGATATCAAAAAGTGGCGAATGGGGTTTCATTACTCACAATGTCATTCTCTATCGAAATAAGTAAAAATATACCGGGTGTCCAACAAGAAAATATGGGTCACTTCAGGAAGTGACAGAAAACAATTAATTACGTCAAATAATGCATGTTTATGAATTATACTCAAAGAGTTATAGGAGTGAGCCACTTTTGAGAAACACCCGCTATAAAGAATATCAATGCTCTGGCAATGATTCCATAGAATTATCTTCACCACTCGAATTGGTGCATACTTTCTAATGATTCATGAATTAATCAAGGTGTCAATCTATTGTTATTTAGTCTAAGGTTATAACGATCAATGCCAAATTACAAGAATTATTACGAGAGAAGGTCATGACATTGATTGCAAATCCAGGTATATGTATTCGCTATATCGCTACCTATGAAATTTAATTCTCATTGACGGTGAACATCAAATAAATATCTTCTTGAAAGGGTACCTCAATGATGAGGATATGCGCTATTCAATTAAAAATTCATACGTACGCTTTTTGCTGCTGCCAGTATATTTTTTCACGTAGGAAAAATTTATCTGTTGATTTGAGTAGCCCTGTAAGGTTGTTACTTTTTTTTTATTTTCTACTGTCGAAATTGTGAGTTATAAGGGGGTGATACCATATAACGTGCCTCCAGTGTCATGTGTCTGCTAAATCGAAGCCCGAACAAACTATTTTCAACCACTTCATCACACGACACACCAAACGGCATTTTGTTAGACATAAAATTGCGCAACTTTGCAAATAACTTAACCGACCCTGATGAGGCTCGGATTCCAGCAACCCTTTATATTCATACATAATAATATTTTCCGGAAAACAGTAAACTAGAAAATTGATGGCCGTTATTGCCAAGGTTATATTACTTCACTCATTGTGGTGTTCACTATTTTATTAAATAAAACACTTTGTTTTCTTTCAACACTTGTATTATAAACAGTCTAATATGTACGGTCTCATTCACTCTCCGTATCTGAATGAATCCCCAAATTAACAGTGCCTCTCGCCTTGTCATTCGGTTACATAAACATGACTTATCAATATACTGAATCATCATAGCAATTCTTCGCCCAGTTCGATACATCACACTCATAATAGGTTTGTTTTGATTTTCATAGAATCAAGAAAATAATATTTAATATAATTCAACTTCCCCATCATTAAGTGTTCACAATACATGTGTACTAATGAGTATATCTGCATATGTCTTCATTATTATTTTATTTCAATTATATGTATATTGTTTTGGTGTGTACCGATTTACACTTTCGATCAATATTATCACCTATAACTATCAGTTTTGCCTGTATAGGCCTGTATAGGTGTTGTTTTTAGAAATTATACTGGGTATATATTATTTTAATTTGCATTTATTTGTATATTGCTACTAATTACTATGACATTGGGAACGAGCTCTTCAGAAGTCGAAACTTGTGCGGGTTTAGGAAGAACGGGACCTACAGCTTATAGAGGTGTACCAACCACTTCTAGGGCGCGTTAGAATGAATATATTATATAATTTGCACCTTAGTAAGTTTTTTTGAATAGGGATCAGAATGAAAATCGTAACAAGAACTCTTTCAGCCCAAAGTTCTACGCTACTGTAGCAGTTCTGACGTCACCTCCATTTAAATTCCCATGCTAAAGGAACAATCACGTAGAAATAGTTCAATCATCTTCACAAATTCCATGGAACACTACTGCTACATGAACATTTTTGATACAGGCATTATTTTACACCTATGGCTTATCACTATTTCAAATTATTTTCCAGGTGATGCCTTTGGAAAATAATATGAGCCGTCCACAACATTTCACTGGATTATGTGGTGTTCTCAATCAAGGCATGAGTGGCGTTACACTGGTATATATCGTTGTTGGATTCTTCGGTTATTTAAAGTATGGAGATGGCATAAAAGGCTCAGTGACTCTGAATCTTCCAATTGAACAATAGTAAGTAAAATTCGTAATTTTAGGTTTGAACATTTTTACAATCTACGAAATTCAGCGCACCCATCATCAAATCATCGTAAGTCCATGTTTATTAAAGCGACATCTATTAGATACAATCTAAACCTCCTAACTCTACTCGGAGATTTTGAACTCAAAAACTCGTAAGTCTGCAAGAGAGGATAGGGTTAAGTTGTGCTTGTTGAGAAAGTATGAATCTCTATCGTTTGAATCATTATTTGAAGTGAAATATATGTCAGACACCAAAGTAAGTGTATGATGGGACTGGTCAATCTTCAGGAATACAACTACAGTGATGCGAAAGACAATCTTGTTTTGATTCTCCATGTGGACAGGCTTACGAGGTTTTGATCTGTATATTATCTATCTAGTAGAGGATTAAGAGCTTTTGAGAAGATGTATTCCATTAGCATCGTTATGGATATTTGTATAATTTTATTCTGTTCATTCCAAATGAAGACATTAATTGAAATATTTCGGTTCATTATTGTTGACACCATATTTCTCATTGTTTCAAAACTGCCGCTGATTTGCTACATGCACTGTGAAGCAAGCCCAAACTAAATGGCAATTCTCACTAGTAATTGATCAAAACCAATTCAGTCTGAATAATGTTCATTTTATTTTTGTAAATACTTCCTATGTCGTTTATATGAACGTCAACAATCTTCTTAGAATGTTGATTTCATTCATCAAGCAGGTACCTTTACAATGGAGGAATAGCCTTAAAAAAATTAAACTGAATCGTTTGAGGTACCTAGTCCTCCTGGATAATTAGCTTTGAAAGACTTACGAGATTTTGACAGTAAGCCGACGAATTGCTATCGGTGCATTCGTATAATAAGAGTTATTTATGTATCAAGGGCGTAAAATAGGCTTATATGTACCATATCACTCCTAGGTCCATAGTCAGGCACGAAATACATATTATAACATTTTATGCACGACCGTTTGAGACATTCATTCACTGATGACAATATGGAATTTATCAATGATTTTGATTTCATCCTGCCGTATGGGCCTTTCCAGTCATTCATAGAAAAAAATATATGGCTCTGGAATACCATACAATAATTTTTTTTTGTCTACTGACATTCAATTGGAACAATAAAGAGTGGTTCGAGATTCAGAATTCCGATCAACCTGTATCTGTTCCAATTAATGAATGTCAGTAGATAATCAAAATCAATAATGAATAGTTTGGACATGAAAAACTCCTTGAGTTGAAAAATCTAGATTCTGAACATTTGAACGATGTATTGATGAAATCAGCTCTTTAGGGAGAATCTAAAAATGCAATGAAATACAGAGTGTTCTGTTTGAAAAAGTAAACTACTCTCCTCTACATCGTTTGTTCCGAGCACCCTGTATTTTCTGATGTAGCGAAAACAAAATCATTTGAGATGATTTTTCAAATTTTGAAATTGGCTGAAAAATAAGTGAGCTAGAGGGGGGGGCATTTCTGGTGAATCACCCTGTACACAGTCCTTAGATTGCCTAATAATATAGGTTCATTCGGGGTTCCGATTTCAGAACTGTTCAAGAATCGTTCTCGAATTGCGTAGAACTAGTGCGCAGTCGTTTCGAATCCTAGGACTGTTTCAGAACGGTTAACAAATTATGAAAACCCGAACGCGGCAGACGAGAACCTCTGAGAACATAACCTCTATTCGGAATTTGCGAAAAAAACAATAGTTTGGTACCTGTATCTTTATTAGAATAATATTCTGAAGCTTCAAACTCTCCTCTGAGTCTATTCACAATATCTCTGGAAACCCTCTGTGGAGAAATGGTGAATGTATTCCATCATAGCATTCGTAGCTAGATTTTCAATATGTATTGTCCCTTGTACCTACATGAATTTCCACACCCACCTGAAATGTTCAATTAATTGTGTATCTGAATATAATGGCAAAATCTCCGCAACATAATCCTCCATCTTTCGGTTTATCTAACAAAACTTCGAGAATTATCAGATTGGGTACAATATTTTCAGCAACTTCAGCAAGTAATTCCTTCACCACTGCTTCCTGAAGATGAAGATCAACTACTATCAAATGAATGTAGTATCTCCGCAATATTGAGAAAATATTGAAAAGAGCAATAAACAGTAGAATAAACAAAAATATATCATTATGACGTTACTCTACAAAAGACAGAATCGAAAACTAAATGAAATAAGCATGCGCCAAAAATAATCCTAGAACAGTTCATGCTCGAGAGCAGGTACTGGTTTCGGATAGATCTAGGACCGTCCCAGGACGATTCTGGAAAAACCCGAACGCGTAAAGAGTCAGTCCTAGAACAGTTCCACAAAACCCGAACGCGACCGATTCTACTGCGCAAGCTCCTGACAGTTCTAGAACAGTAATAGTTCGAAACCGAATGAACCTATTGTTTGACGTCATGTTCACAACAGATATTTGTTTCAGTGCCGCCCAAGCTGTGAACATCCTGATTGGCGGAGCGGTTTTCTGCACGTTCGGCTTGCAGTTCTACGTGTGCCTTGACATTGCGTGGAACGGCATCAAGAAACGCTACGCAGACAATGAGACGATCGCGCAGTACACTCTGCGCACCGTCATGGTGGTCGTGTGCGTTTCCATAGGAATAGCCGTTCCCACGATAATCCCTTTCGTGTCTTTGATCGGTGCCTTTTGCTTCTCCCTTCTCGGTTTGTTGGTACCTATCGGCATCGAAATGCTCACCTTCTGGGAGAAGGGTTTCGGTAGGTACAACTGGAAGATCGTTAAGAATATAGTTGTGGCTGTTACCGCCATGTTGGCTCTTATCTTCGGCTCGAAGTCTGCTATCGAAGAAATCGTCATGATGTATACTTCACCTTCGAACAGCACTTTACTTAGCAACAGCACGGGTTTGTTAGCCGATGGAGTAGGTTTACTTGCAAATACTACTGGTTTAGTATCCAATAGTACGGGTTTACTTGCCAATAGTACGGATTTATTTGATGGTGCGGCACTATTCAATGTTACTGCTTTAGCTAATGCTACATCGAGTTAAAACAAGGTTGAATATCTATAAGTTTGAGTTTTTTGTACAAGAAAGTTGACTGAATGTGAGGAAATATTTATGTTCAAGCATTTTATAAGAGTATTCCAATTAGCAACCAGATGAGTCCGTCTCAGAATTTCGTAAAATTTTATAGCAAAACAATATTGTTTTGAATCAAAACTATTTATATTTTCTTCCTTCGGCATCGGAATGCTCACGTTACGGGAGAAAGGTTTCGATAGGTACATCTGAAAGCTCGTGAAAAATGTTGTTATAGCTATTACCGTTATGTTGGCTCTTATCTTCGGCTCGAAGTCTGCTATCGAAGAAATCGTCATGATGTATACTTCACCTTCGAACAGCACTTTACTTAGCAACGGCACTGGTTTGTTAGTCGATGGGATAGGTTTACTTGCCAATACTACTGGTTTAGTATCCAATAGTACGGGTTTACTCGCCAATAGTACGGATTTATTTGATGGTGCGGCACTATTCAATGTTACTGCTTTAGCTAATGCTACATCGAGTTAAAACAAGGTTGAATATCTATAAGTTTGAGTTTTTTTGTACAAGAAAGTTGACTGAATGTGAGGAAATATTTATGTTCAAGCATTTTATAAGAGTATTCCAATTAGCAACCAGATGAGTCCGTCTCAGAATTTCGTAAAATTTTATAACAAAACAATATTGTTTTGAATCAAAACTATTTATATTTTCTTCCTTCGGCATCGGAATGCTCACGTTCCGGGAGAAAGGTTTCGATATGTACCATCTGAAAGCTCGTGAAAAATGTTGTTGTAGCTATTACCGCCATGGCTCTTATCTTCGGCTCGAAGTCTGCTATCGAAGAAATCGTCATGATGTATACTTCACCTTCGAACAGCACTTTACTTAGCAACGGCACGGGTTTGTTAGTCGATGGAGTAGGTTTACTTGCCAATACTACTGGTTTAGTATCCAATAGTACGGGCTTACTCGCCAATAGTACGGATTTAGTTGGTGGTGCGGCAATATTCAATGTTACTGATTTAGCTAATGCTACATCGAGTTAAAACAAGGATGAATATCTATTAGTTTGGGTTTTTTGTACAAGGAAGTTGACTGAATGTGAAGAAATATTTATGTTCAAGCATTTTATAAGAGTATTCCAATTAGCAACCAAATGAGTCCGTCTCAAAATTTTGTAAATTTTATAGCAAAACATTATGGTTTTGATAGGTACATCTGAAAGCTCGTGAAAAATGTGGTTGTAGCTATTACCGCCATGTTGGCTCTTATCTTCGGCTCGAAGTCTGCTATCGAGGAAATCGTCATGATGTATACTTCACCTTCGAACAGTACTTTACTTAGCAACGGCACGGGTTTGTTAGTCGATGGAGTAGGTTTACTTGCCAATAGTACGGGTTTACTAGCCAATAGTACGGATTTAGTTGACAGTGCGGCACTATTCGATGTTAACAAAATTAATCTAATTTGGTTAACATCCAGTTGAAACAAAGTTGAATATCTATTATTCTGAGTTTTTTGTACAAAAAAGCTGAATGATTGTGAGAAAACATTCATGTTCAAGCATTTTATACCAGTATTCCAATTAGCAACCAAATGAGTTCGTTCTTGAAAATTTTGTAAAATTGTATAGCAAAACAATATTGTTTTGAATCAAAACTATTTATATTTCTAAGTTAAAAAGGGGATTCAGTTATAAGTATCATAAATAATTGCGAGAGCTTGTAGACAAAACTAAATTATGAAGGAAGTTCATATAACTTTTTCCTTAAAATGTCTTTTTACGGGAATCGGGAAACAGTTTTGCTTTTCAATTAAAAAGAGGTGCAACAAGTATGTCTTTCATGTATTGAGAAGTTATAATGATTAAAAACGCCTAATCAGCATTGTTTGTGGAAGAAAAAGGTGTAATGTGGCCCCAGAATCTACGCCACTGGGAGCTACCTTAGTGCCCAGAAACAACATTATAATATACAGAAAAAATTAGAATTATTGTCACATTTTGTCAAAAGATATAATGTGAAAAATTTTCCGTCACTTAAACACCATATATTTCGAAAAGGAATACTCTCAATATTATGATGTATGATGAACATCAATTATTCTTATCTTACAATATGGCAAACCATGTATTTCGGTAAAAAGACATTGTTGGAGACTTTATTCAAATTTTCTTCTCATTTTAGGATTGTCTATAATCCTTTCAATGAAAGTAATGTGGGTACTTGCCACTCACCTCGTATTATGGGGAATTGAAAATGAACAGATTTTTTTTTCAATTCTATGAATTATGCTCTTGTTGTTTAGCTGGCTGAACACTCGAGCAATTTCCTACTAGAAACAAATCAAATTCATCTACGCAAAATGATTGAAAAATTACAGTATTTTATGTTATATGGACGGAAAAGGAAATTATGTCATTGTTCCCATGGCATGTATTAATTTTTTCATCAGAGCATAAGGTAGCTGCCAAAAGTCAAAATTATCTCAGGTTGTTCCAATACACCTTTATTTTTTTCATCAAACATTTTTCAAGCAAAGTGTCACTGACTATCGATGAAGTTTTTCGAATAGGTTCCTAATAATGTATTTATAGTAAGGAATTTCCTTTTATTAATTATGCCGGTCATTCCAGATTTTCATTTGTAAAGAAATTGTGTCTGGAATGAATTCATATTCATTATTACTCATTAGAGTTTGAATTGTTTTTGTCAGTTATTGCTATTACACAACTTGGCTCATTTATTGATGCTTGATTGTGAAGCAGATACGTTAGGAATTACCTCTTCATCTACAGTGTGTTTCAATTGTAATATTTAAATAGAGCACATCAAGTGATTTGAAAAAATTCTTAATCGCTTAAACGATTATAGGGATGGAGTGATGCAAATTGAAACACACTGTATATTGAGTAGTTCAATTTCAATTGGGTATTAATCATTTGAATCCTGAACACAAGAGGATCAAAAAATGTGGGTAAGATTGAAGGTATTATTTTATAGAGAATGCAGTGTTATTTATTATGAAGCAGTGGTATTAAATTAATTCAATTTTCTGTGATTTGTTGTTATTATATTACATTTAAAAAATAGTATTTTTCGCACTTTCGGTAGTAAAATATTTAGTTATGTTAAGAGCAAAAATAGCGTCGAATATACTGGAGTCACTTCAATATTTGTATGAGTAGATACTTTATCAAAGTACACTTCAGTCTGTGAGGTTAAAATTATAAACCATTGGCGAAATTCTTTCAGAATTGTATTATTCATTTTCATTAATTTTCTACTACAAGAATGAATGTAATAAATTGGAATGACGATTTTTACCAACCTTGTTTGAAGGTTGGCATTTTTTACTTGTTGAGATGCCTAAAAGAATAGCTGAAAAATTAGTATATTCATGTTGAACACATTGGCAGATATTTATAAAAATAATTTAGGAAGCATACATGAAATTTTATTTGTAAAACTATTAATTTGTAATTTTTTAATAAAACATATTTCACATACAATCTTTTTGTCATTATCCAATATTCCTTAAAAACTTATTTGTGAATATAAAACGGCTTCTTGATTATGTATAATATTTTATTAGAACCAAGATAATGGAAACGAAATTTAGTCAAATAACAATAATGTGAATGTTTGAAAAATACATAATGATGCCTAGGCACTGTATCATGAGGAGTGTTTATTTTAAGTAAAATTGTAGAATGTGCTTAAAAATTGCCCCAACCTCTAAAACACTGGTCTATGAATTAAATATTCTAGAAACTTAACAAATGATCAAAAGTAAATTTTAGAAATTGATTAATATAGTAAAAGCACCAAAATGCTCACAATATCCAGATGGCGCTGATGTCAGCTCAATTCTTTTTTAATAATTCGTAATTATAAATGTTTATCAATATTTTTTTCGTATCGACCGGCCGTTACTCAATGAATTCCATTGTAAATGCAAAAAACTTCACAAACGATAAGATTTTTCAAGTGAACTACTCTTACAATAAATTAACCTCTCATTGATTTGCCTAACTAATACATAGGGTTGCCACTTTATAGTAGCAGAAAGATAAAAGTTCTTATTTGAAGAATAAAAGTTCCTGTGGGTCTTATTCATAATTCTCTGTTTTCGAGATATAGGGCGTTGAAATAAAAAACGCTAAATGGTCGATTAATCACGGATTGACGATCTGTGATTCATTGAAAAAATTAATCACGTTACCATGGCAACACAATTTCACAAACACATTAGCATGGCAACACAGTCGTCCTGTCCGGTCTGTTAATTGTAGGACATGTCAACTACCGTTTTCGAATTTTGTTGGAATCGGTGACAATCACAATTATTCAGTTTCTGTAAGGTTATATCAGAATTCTTCATTAAAAATGTATGCGTAATGTAGACGAATACTCAGCGAATCGAAGTTTTTATCTTCTACGTCAGATGGAAACTACTTATTCATAAAAGGTTAGTAAGCAAGCCATTTTAATAGAAATTCATGTATCCTATGGACTGGTAACGCATGTCTCGTTGGTTGCATGCAGTTGCATCAAGGATATTATGTATCATGTTCTCAATTCCCATTCCCTTCGAATCATTTTGTAGGTTAGCAGGTAGGTTAATCTAATCTCCAGAATTATGGGATCTTGTCTAAGAGAGGAATTATGAATTCGTAGAAAAATTATATCTTGTATGAGTTATCAGCGTATACAGACAATCGAAGAAAATTCAGTGTTCCAATCAGAATTATCATTAGGATTCACAAAATGAATCAAATTTCATTCAACGCGTACCTAACTACAGTATCTAATCTATTTCTTCCTAATAACTGAAAAATGAAAAAAAGTAGCGTGCAAGTTTGTTTTTCATTTTGACAATTCAATTTATGTACATAAAATCCCGTAATCTGCTGTGATTTTGTCATTATGACAGCGAAAAAAGTTTACCCTAACTTTTCCAGCGACAAAACGGAAACAAAATTGAGAACACATATTTGATGGTGTTAATGTAATTTTTTCTCAGAGTTGCTTCGTCAGAAAAGTATTTGATCTGTGGAAATGTCGCGATTTCGAATCTACGAGTGGAGGAATTGAAAATGTAGTAACAACTTTGATTTTTTAAATGGGACACCCTGTATATTATTTAATTTCAAGATTATCCCTGAAGAGCTGATTTCATTAACCACAACACTTGGAGTCTAGCAGTGACAATTACAGAGATATAGGGTGGGAAAAATCGAGATTTTTCAACCCCTGTATCTTTGTTATCATTCCTGCTAGACCCTAAGTGTAGTAGATCGATGAAATCAGATCTTTAGGAAGATTCTGATAATGGAATAATATATAAGGTGTCCCATTCAAAAAATCAAAGACGTTGCTACTTTTCAATATATGCGGCAACGTCGCAGTGTTGAGAATATTTTAGGTGAATAGAAAACAACTAGGATTCGACTTTTCGCTACGGTAGAAGAAACAGTGCGTCTTCAGGCTAAAAGTCAGGTTATTGTGAATGTGAAGTTTAAAAAGTGTGTGTCAGAAATATCAGGCTCTTTTATCTCTACGCCGGTATAGAGGCCGGATGATGACAGATTCATCGGATTTGGAGTCAAACGTGCTACATTATCTCTACGCCGGTAACCAGGCCGGATCAGCAACGGATTTGCTGGATAAGAGGAGTACATACGTTCGAATCTTATGAACACTGATGACTCGGCTTCAGGCCATTGTGATAGACAACCGGTGTCTCATGTGGCGAGTCGAGTGATAATATTATTACATAACCAAGTATTTATTCTTGAAAGAAATTGATTACCTGATCTGGAGAAATTGTTACCGAAAGGAGACAGAAATCCAATAAAGAAGAAGAAGAAAACAACTAATTATCCAAGAAACCGAATTTTCAGTATAATCCTACGTTGCGTTCTCCAGAAACGTTCAATGTGCTATCCACCGTGAATCAACCTGTATGCTAATTTATTGTACGAGTATATTTCACTTGAAGAAGCTACTGTGTTTTGTGATTCAATTACGAATTTTGTGGGAATCTTTTCGTTTGTGAAGTTTTTTACATGTTTATTGATGATCATTCGAGCATCAGAAAAAAAATCAATCAGTTCATATTCTTAAGAAACTAACATTGGCGTCGACATTTTAGTCATTCAATTCCGATGATGGTGAGTCAATTCACCCTGGATATTTATTCAAACCAAATATTTTTATTTCTACTTACACATATAGATATCTTGATTGCTAAATTTCCTATAAACACTTTTTGTGCAACATAATAATGCAAAATGACTTCCAAAGGTTACCCTGTTTCCCAAATAATTGATAATTTGAACTGAAATCAACAAATAGATGTCAAGTATCAAAGACCAGTGTGATCAAAGGTTTTTTGGTAGTTGGATTTTGCTGTGAAAAAAACTAAAGTATACACAAAACTCATCAACTAACAAATTGGTCATAAATATATGAAAACTATTTTGTACTTTTCACTGTACACGTAATAACTGTCCAGCAATTAATATATAAACAAAAACTTAAATATTAAGTTAAGCCCCCTTCATTGTCGATATATCACCAGTACTCAAATTGTGAAGGGAATCATTTTCATATAATATAAGTTCTTCGATGAATACATTTTTTTACATTTGGTTATATTTTCTGATTGCAATTACAGGCACAATAAAGTAACTAATACGCTAAGTTGCTCAAGGGATTGATTTATATCACAATACCAAAACAGATTTTGTGCCTGAATAATGAATATGGGGAGGAGATCGGTAAAATCCTGCACAAAATCCATTTCCATTTTACTAGCTTGGGTGTCATTGGAAGATGCCCTTCATATAACACACAATCACATAAATATAATACAATAACATGTACGATTTTAAAACAATACATGGAATAAAAAATCAGCAACTTTCTGAAGGATGACCTGCTCAAAAATGAAACCCAAATGATATTTACACTTACCCATGTGAATGAACCAAGATGTCGACGACTTATAAAAATTTGAGATCACGAACATAAAAAAAGGTGGTCGAAGTATTTTGTAAAAAAATAAGGCATACTGTGATATGTCTATCAAAACATAGTGAGGTAAGGGTACAATTGCGTTCAAAATTGAAACAATGCTAGAAATGATTCAAACATCCAATATAAATGAACACCATACCCCTCGAGGATATTTATCTAATACAATGCGAATATCTTATATTTTGAGATGCCCTTCAACTTTGATCTTTTAAAACATACAAGTATAACAAACTTATTTGCGTTCATTTCCCGAACGAAAAATTACAAAAGTAATCAATTGACCTCAACAGTATGGATTCGATGTATTTATTGTCCCCCATTCCATGTAATCTAGAGTTCCTCAATATACTTGACACTGCTGTTTTGACGTTTTTTGTATATCAGAGTACGGACACTAGACAAGCAGTGACAATCAAACATAACCACAAACGATTTCGAAGCAAATCATATGTTTTGCCAGACAAGGACAAGAATATGTTTTTCGCTTAGATAAAGGATCCTCGCATCTTCCGTCCTCCACAAGTCCTGGGAAGAGTACATCCATACATCTTTCTCTGTCTTTGATTTTTGTATGAGAGTGCATAGCGTCTCCTCAAGTGGGTAAAAGGGTACGATAAATTGATTAGGAAATTATTTCTTCTCGAAATATTGAATGATAAGGCTGAAGGACCTCAATGGAGGTTGATATCAAGTTAGTAGGTACATAATATATATCAACGAAATACATATAGTATTCCTATGAAATTAGTCTCTTATATGTAGGTATATATATTCGTTCAGTTGAATATTTGTTTATCACAAAAGTTCAGAATGGGGTAAAAACTGATGAATTTCAAGAAACATACTTTTATTTAGTGTGGAACAATTTCACTGGTACAACAGCTGATTTCAGTAAGGATAAATAATATAGGTTCTCCAAGACATACGGAAGTAGGTATAAATGGACTTCAGCACTCGACTCACTATAGATCGCCGTTCACATTGCTAAATGGGGATTGTTGGTTCAACCCGGAGATCGGAAGATCATTTTCAATACCTAACATGAATGGTGCACTTGTTAAGCGTTCTTGGTCTGTGCTCTGATAATATCTTCCTCGTATCTTGGTACCAAAGAAGTGGTTCAAAATCCACTAGGAGCTATGTAGTCGTCTAGCACTTCTCAACTACGCATGAACATGCACACTCAGACTTGGGATTTCAACTTTGAAGAAGTGATACACGAACAATATATTCAACTCTTTGATATAGATACATCAATATCTGGTACATCAGAGTTCCACAAAGTGACTACATGTTTTCACAAAATTATTATAAGAGTTCGTATACGAAGATGATCTAAAGAATTCTTGGTTGAACAGGTATGTGAAATCAGTTTGAGTCAGTCAATTCAGGAAGTTGCTGCTATTTCAGATATCATCAGATTATCGACCATGATCTCCATGATGGCTATTGTGATCTCTGCTCCATCATTTCATCACAAGCAATAACCAGAGTCTGAATTGGAATAAGGTTCTTTTCGATACTCGCTCAGTTTATAAATTGTGGGTTCGGCTCTTTCTCTCAATACGATCATATTCTTCAACTTCCTACCAAGAAATTTAAATGCCTCGCAAATTTTGTGGCCTGAACCTATATTCCATGCCGGCTGCATCATATTCTGTTTCCATTTTTGTAGAATTACGTTATCCGATGGAAATTCGAATAGGGTGAATTGATTTCCCGTGTTCTCACAGTTGAAAACTGCACAACCTTGCATCTTTATCCTAATTCTCTCAATTTGACAAACCTTTGAAATTTATGACATGTACGTCCGTGTACTGTCAGTTTCCGCGTTTTCCATCAATTTATTTGTGGTTATGTCTGATTGTCAGTGCTTGTCATAGTGTCCGTACTCTGATATACAAAAAACGTCAAAATCAGCAGTGTCAAGTACATTTAGGAACTCTAATGTAATCAATCAACATGGTAGGATTATTTGATAAAAACAAATATATTTCATGCAACATATTCTATGATATGTAACTTGGAATATTCGATCATTTTTGTTGATTATAATGGTTTGAATGAATGAAAGAAAATGAAGTACCCATCTCAAAAATGAAAACATTTTACATATATCACAATTTTTATTCCCATAGCAATGCTATCTTACACGGACACCCTGCTCATTAGGATACAATAATATTGCACACCTTGCATCGAGCTATTTACAAAAATAATACATTATAAAGACCAGGCCTGAGGGAATTGATATTATGACAATACTAGAACTTCGCAAAAAAAACAGTTATACCAAGTGCGCTACTACAAAAAAAATGTGGAACTACCGACATTTGCCATTAATGATAGGCATAATCAATTGACAAATTCCCATTCATAAGGTTCGTTACATACAGTTTTCATTATTGGTTTGTTATAAAAAGATTTGTATCAAATGAGCCGTTTTTCGAGACTCCATTTAGAGACGTTGTTATCTAAATGCAGTGCCAAACAGTCCCAAGATGAAGCCTCACTGTATCCAACTATGACTGATTTTCCATAAAACAAAAACAAAATATACTCAACCCAGACATCACAAAAATAGACCAAAGTATAAGCCATGAAAATTAACATGGCATATACAGAGAATTATGAAATAGAAATAGAGTTGAGATGAGATGAATGTGGTCGTAAAAAAGTATAGTAGACAACTTGGAACTGAAATGCATTCACTTTCGTTCTCTAAACACAATAATGGCAAAATCAGCAACATGAATTGTCCTTCCGAACTTTATGATTGGCACTGTTGAGTCGTTCAGTTTCAGTAACCAATATCTTGAGGAGCGAAATTTCAAAATAATATCATTTTCTCCAACAGACATATGCATGGAAACAAATCTGGTTGAGATGAAGAGCTTTCAAGCAAATGGACGTATACATTTTACAATTACAATTTTATTGAATTTGAGTTTATGGTAGTTGAATCTGATTACAATAAATTGCAAAAAACGAGTACATCAAAACATCCTGTGTGAATCTAATGGTACCAAAAGTATTTAGCAAATACTCGGCAGCAAAAAGCGTTATCTTTTTGCCCACACATTTATTTTTCAAATCCTGTTACGATAATCTCAGATAACACCCTGTAGGCCATAATTTCGAAATGGTGAAGAAAAAAAAACGAAAGAAATAGATGACGATTTTCCAAAAAACCCTGTAGTTCGAAATGTTGAAAAAACATAAGGAACTTATTATAATATAAACGAAAAAATGAGCTCCCAGATTTTCGGAAGGAATTAATTTTTTTAACTGTATCTCAAAATATCGGTCACTGAATCTCCATTTAATGGATCATACACTATGTTTAATTTTTAAAATACATTTTTTTGGTGGCAGCACACTGATATAGTTTCAAATCATTCCGTTGGCAACGTCCCAAGATCATCTGTTCACAAAATTTTTATTAAAAAGTACAAATTCAACGATTTATCAAGAAGATTTTTTCGAAGGACTGATTTTTTCATTGATATTGCTAGGAGAGTAATACATTAAAATGATTTTGTTTCAAGAAAATAAATAATTATAATAAATACTTTGAGACGATAAATACATAAATAAAATATTTCAAACGAGTACAAAATTTCCAATCATTATTGAGAGGCAGTCATTATTGTTCTAGATTTTTTTAAGGTATGTATGAATGGTTAAAAATGTTAATTTACAAAATACTTCTTATCGTCCGTTTGGTGAGGATTCTTTATTCATTCAGTTCCCATTTGATATGTAGACGGGTTGCTCAGACCTTTTCATTTTCCGCATTGCCTTTTACCACTGAACCTGTCTGGACATTACAATCACCCTCTACACTTCTATAACACAAAAATAAGGAATCAGTAATTTTCATCTGACGTTAATCAGATTAGACAATAAAACAGTGTGTTTGTTGAGTGCGATTTTGTGTAATTCGGCTAAGTATGTTTGCTCCAATTGGAAACCTCAATGATTGATGATTCCTCGGAATGTTTATCTACAATTTTCAACACCCCAATGCGCAGATGGATCGAAACTATCAATGGTGTCATTGGCTTATGTCACTTGGAATTTGGAAACATGAGTGGAAGTGAGTATGCGCATGCTCTGTGGGATCCAGTTTGATTTATCTCAAATGAATAAGCTCTAGCCTTATGACATTAGCGGTCTAGATAAGTGTCACTGGCAAATACCAAACTGAAACAAATGAGCTACTGACAGTTTTCTGTAGAGCAGCGACAATGAAAAGGTAGACAGAATCTGAATAACAGAGCAGACAATATTATACCAACTAGCCCACTAGCCAGTTTTATCATTGGATCAACAATGCTGTAACCAACAAATTAATCTAAATCCCAGATATTACATCTTGCATTACCATTGGTTTCTGGGAATATCCCACTTTTCAAGATACCTAAGTAACCCTCGCTGTGTGTTGTGAAGGATATATAGGGTGTCCCGAAATTAGCCTGCCAATCTACCCAAGCGGCTTTTCCGAACAAAAATAGGAAGAAAAGCTCCAATGAACATGAGTCGAGACATGTCTCTTGAGGGAGCTACGGCCCCCTGAAAGGAGGATCCTGTAGATGATATTTCTTGAGTATTTCCGAAACTCCATGTGATGAAAAGATGCAATTTGGTACAAGAACTAAACTTCCAATGCCCAATGCAGTGAAAATAATATCATTTCAAAATTTCACTCAGGAGTGTATAATTCAGGGTAATACTACATTAAATATTGCTTAATAGTATATTATGTAACAAGTGATATAAACATTCTTTTAGTAACGAGTATTTTAAGCACGAGCGGAGCGAGTCTTTAATAAACGAGTATCTAGAAGAGTTTATAATCGCGTTACATACTATGATTTTTCTACGAACTCGAAAATTACATTAACATACCTGCAATTCCTGCTAACCTACAAAATAATTCGAAAGGAATGGGAATTGAGAACATAATACATGCAACTGCATGCAACCAGTGAGACACGTATAAGTGATATTGGTTGTAGATGTGTCCAGTCCATTGCTTACTAACCTTTGTTTTACGTTTATTGTCATGCTTAGCGCAGAATAAATAAATTGTTCTCAAAGATGGATGCTTCATTTTCACACTTCTTGGAGATATGCAAGTACCAGAACATTCTCTTCGATTTCACTTTGCATATATTTTTAATGAAGAATTCTGATACAAACGAATATTGTTTGAATAATTCCGATACAAAATTCGAAAATAACAGTTGACAGTTGATACAATCGACAGGCCAGACATGTCTCAAATTACTGAAGCTGTGTTTAATGAACTGCGTTGCCATGGTACCGTGTTTAATATTTTGAATAAATCACAGATCGACAATCCGTGATTAATCGATCGTTTAGCGTGGTACATATCCGTACGCTAAATGCCATTTTAGTTATGTGAGTAGAAAAAAGGTATTCTTGTTTCGTGACATCGAGTAAAACCGATTTAAAAATATTGTTACATCTCAGATTTTATGCATAACATTGCAATGAGTCGTAGTTGAAATGCACAAAAATTGAAGTAGTTTTTTTATAGCCACTATGACTTGAAAATTGGCAACGTTATGCATAAGATGTGACTGTATCAATATTTTTAAATTGATATCACTCGAAATACATCTGATCGTTCGGGACAAGAGCACCTTCTTTGTGAAACGGTGTAGATTTTCATATTCCGAGATTAAATTATCAAAAAATATCCATACAAAAAAGTTTGACCAATATTCAATGTAGTCCCACCATGTATTATACACTCCTGAATAAAACTTTGGGATAGTTTTTTGTCCACCGCATTGGGCATGGAAAGTTTAGTTCTTGTACTGAAGTGCATCATTTTATCACGTGACGTTTCGGAAATATTCGAATGAGAAATATCATCTTCAGGAACCCCCTTTCAGGAGACCGTAGCTCCCTTAGGAGACATTTCACGACTCATGTTCATTGAAACTTTTCTTCCTATTTTTGGTCAAGAAGCCGCTGATGAAGTTTGGCAGGCTAATTTGGGGACACCCTGTATAATGATAATGGAAATTATGTGTTAGTTCTACTGACAAACGTCAATGTCAAATATGTCAAATTTTTTCTGAACAAATCGACTTACTTGGACGGTTCAGTAACACCAGTGGTTGCTGTTTTCTGATCAGCGCCAACAGCCGCTCCGTCTGCTTGATCACCTGCAGCACTCTTCATCTTTGTCTCCACAATGATTGGTTTCACGTCACTGGTTAGAGGCCTATCAATACTATCAATAAGAAAATTAGGATAGGCCTTTTTATTTTGATGATTTTGTGAGGCGTTGTGCTCGGTTTTAGAACCACTTTCTGATGTTACAAAGGTTGATGGTTATTAGCAAGGATTCGACGACACAACCTAAGATTGGACCATAGCAAAATTGATGCTTTATTAATATTATTTCAATGGCGGAGGCATTCGTTACTGGATACCTCATTTTTTTTAGTTCTGTTTCATAAAAATTTGAAATTCAGAAGGGTTATATTATCGATGATGGCGCTTTCTTTGAACCCAATGACAAAATTCACCTGTTTTTTTTATCGGTTGGAGCGCACGAAAGGGAATCCCTATAATGTTCAAAGAACATCGTGCATTCCTAGGGAGGATAGGGACAGGAGGTAGGTATTGGATTTTTTTGAAATGGCACCCCGTGTATTTCTGTAGTCTATCTTATTCGCCTTAAAATTCTCTATTCAGCTATGTATCACAATTTGATATTCGTTCATTGATTGACTGTTAAATTGCATATTATTGAAATACATGAAGTTGGCTGTGGCCCGAATACAATGACATTTTGAAGCTTGATAGGCTTGGAAATCCAAAGATCATCACTTAGACGATATTATCAGAATATTTTCCATACCCTAATCGGTCCCAGAAGATTGCCAATAATTTCATTGAGTTTAAAAAATCATCCGAAAATAACTCACGATATTAGAACGATACATCAATTATTACAACAATTTCAGTTTCATGTATCCAAATGGATGATCAGTTCAGAAAAATTAAATTTTGTCTCACCTCTCATGAAAGCACCTCCGTATCTCACGTAATTATTGGGGTAGGGTTCTGAAATTTGCAGGAGGAAGGGAAAGTCCAAAGATAAAGTCAATCCGTAAAAAGTGCGACAAAACTTTATTTTTAAGAATTGAAAATTTTCCAGGAAAAATATGAATAGTTAGTGGATTGGGCGTCCTGATAGCGAATCTGAAGTGATTTTCGACCTATTATGACTGCTAATATCCTTTTCCGGAAATTGGGGTGGTTCCATGGCTGTTGGCGAACAGTGTATATCACTGAAGATGACCCTACTTGGTCATAGAGTGCATTTTTTGTATATCTCTCGCTCCAGCAAATTTCAGGATCCTTACCCAACGATTACGTAAGATACAGGGGTGTTTTCATTAGAAGTGGGTCACGCTGTAGATAAAATCGCCACTCACCTGTTCGCTTTCGCTTTCTCCACTTCCCCCGACTCGGCGACCCCCGCTTCCCTTGCCTCATCCCCCCCCTTTTCCCCGTCCCGTTCGCCCGCCACCCCCGCGAAACTCGCGAAGCCGGCGTCGAACGGCGCGCCGCCGAAGTCCGCCCAGCCGCCGACGGTGTCGTCGTCGCAGGTGGCGGCAGCCGAGGACCACGGATCGACGGCGAGGACGGCAGCGGCGGACGCTGCTTCGGCCGGTCTCGGGGACGACCACGCTGGAAAGAGAAGCGAGTTAGGTCATGTCGAAGCCCTAGAATGGTTCAGTAAACGAACAACAAATATGAGAAAAAAATCGTGTAGTCGCAATTTCTTGTAGAGTGAAGTGCCATGAACAACATACTAAAGGTCCTGACCCGTAGGGGATGAGCTAGGCGGTAGTAGAGTCACTGGATGGTATTAGTTTGATAAGAGTTCGGACACAGCTGAACTTTTGTCCTTTTCTATTTTCTATAATACAATGGTTTGAGTGAATAAATTAATAAGATATATATTCTGCTTTTTGTCTTTTCGATTTCCCTAGTAGCGCCTGATTGTCAGATACGATTTTAGAGGTTACATTTTCTGTCAAATCAATCAATTTATAGTGATACACTTCTAGCAGAACAACTGTTATGTATTAGAAACACTCCAGAGATACCCACCAAATTACATTAATCACTAGTATTATATTATCATTATTATTATATATGTTGTGTGATTCAGTATCATCACCCCGTATTATGTTTAGAATATCGACGGGTGCTGGTTTTATGACTAAGAGATATTGAATGCATTATCAAGGAGTTACATAAGCTAGATAAGAGAGGGTGACAGGGAATAGTTAGGATGACTAGTAGAGTTGAGACTAGAGAGCTGTAAAGGTGTTATTGTCCTAGAATACAAACTTGATATTTGAAGACGTGGATATTATTTAAGCAGCTTCTCAGTTGTCCCCCTTTAACATATGTAAATGAAAAGAATGCATTTATCAACATTTTAATATTAGAAAATACACACATATGGATAAACTTATAACTATAATTCCTTATTGTTCCTGACACTGTACTCCAGTGATAAGTATGAAACTGTTAAATTTTGAATTTGGTCGGTACCAAAAACCCCATTCAATAATATATCACGTTGTAGTTTACTTGCTTTCCTTAGTTTCGTTTTCAAATTTTCAATTTCATTATGTAATTTTGCGATCAATTCCTATTTTTCCATGATTATTTTATTTTGTATTTTGTGTGGTGATAATAATATGATTTTGTTCTTGGAATCGTCTGCTTTGTAAATTGATGGAACAGCAGATTCTCTCAAGCAGATTTTGAAATCTTCTGTTTGAAAATGGGCCTAAAATATAGTTTTATTGTAATCAGATGAAAAACTGCAAGTATACAAAATTGAAAACAATAATTTTCTTCTGAAAAGTCCCTATTTATTTTTTGTCTACAATGAATAGTTTCTGAGATACAGGGGATGGAAAAATCGAGAAGTATTAGAATAGAGTTCAATGGTATGAAACTTACTAATGTTCAATGTCTCACTATTTTCCGGCGTTCGTTGAATGAACTAGAATAAGAAGGACTACATAAAATAGAGTGGCAACAATAGACCTCAAGATTGGTTGCCGTTTCCGGAATGTCGTTCGTGGTCAAGTCACTGAATAACCGAAAATCTGAAGGGCATCTCCCATACAGTAATGAATTTGCGCCTTTGAAGTGCCCAGCTGATGTTGGGTTAGATGTTTTAATAATCAGAAACTTACGAGTCCCAAAAGATGGATTCTGATAGTTAATATCCAACTCCAGTGGCACAACATATTAAACGGGTTATTTCAAACTATTATTTATAATTATGAAGATATTCGCGTTCCAAGTTTCCATAATGAAAATCGCAAAAACATTTTTTATTTTACCTCGTGGATGAATGAGATGTGATTAGGGCTATTCACAAAAGTCCCACTTACTAGAGAAACATAATTTTTCCTGAAAAAATATTTCTTGTGTCGCTTATCAATGAATCATTTCGTCACATCACATTTGGATCAAACATTACATATCTCTCTAGAGTCGTGTTCAATTGATTTTTCAAACAACTATTCATTACACAAAGCTCGTTCGCCATATTGGATCCGCGTTCTTGAATATCCCAATTTTGACGGAATATTTATAATTTCCAACCCCGGAAATCCCCAGTTACCTTTCAATTTTGAATAGAATCGGATCATAATTACAAAACTCGTTCGCCATATGATCTTCCTCAACAAGTAAATACCCTGTACATACCAATTATTGAAATTTTGAATGATTTTCTGTAGCGCCCATGGATGTGACGTGACAGCAATGTCAGGGATGCCAGTAGACAAAACAAAAGTCTCTAGATCATTAAAAAACAATGCAGCTATGATCTGTCCATAGTGGAAGGAGAAGATGGTGTGCCTACGCGCATATTATGTGACGTGCTGTAATATGAATGTGATGATAATATGATAGGTGAATACTTTGGAATGAGGATATAAGGAATATAAGGTAGGTACTATTTGAGTTTATATTCTGTCGGCAGCAAGCTCCCATCGTTTCATTAGGTCTACATTCTCGGAAAAGCAGAAAAATTCAATATCTGTGCCTTTTGTATGTTAGTTGGAATTTCCATAACCAGAGACGAAACAAGTAGGCATTTCAAAATTATTTCATTCAATTTTAGTACTGATATAATATCGGAAGTTCGAGACATCAATCACGAAAACAAATAATATCAATGACAGTTATATCCCAGCTGACGTCATGCGCAGAACAAGACGAGTTTGAGCTTTCTGTTGAGCACACCATCTTCTCCTTTCACTATGGATCTGTCCGTACCCTGTTAATATGACTTCAACGTCAATTTACATCAAGGAAACCTAATGTCTTCAATTTTAGAACAATTTTTTAGAACAAGGTTGTTTCGAGCACTCACGATCTATGTCCATCGTATCCTCCCCGACTGGCGAGTCGTCGTCGCTGTCGCTGCTGTAGGCCGCCTCGTGCCTGTCCTGCTTCTCGATCACCGTCTGGAAGGTGTGCTCTCTCTCTTCGAAGATCTGGTCGTCGGCGTCGTCCAGCGTGTTGATGTTCTGCGCGCACACCTGCTTGAACATCTCCTGCTGGTGCGCCAGCTCACCCTCCGACAGGTCGAAGTTCATCTCCGTGCGATGGTCGATGGTCCTGCATCGATTATCATATCATTCAATATAGGCGACTGAGATTAGGATCGTAGCGCCAGAACGGCGAATGTCGGTACTACTCTATGGGCCGTTGGCGGATTGTTTACATTGTTTGGTAATGGTGTTTATGTTCATTTCGTTTTGAGTTTTCAAACGTCCAGCTTTGTTATTTGTCTATTTTCGAACTTTGTATTTTCCAGCGGTCTACTGTGTTTTGATTGAGGACTATATTATCTCTGTTCAACATTAGATAACCTCCCTACCTCTAGTTGAACTTCATATATACCAACATGCATAGGCTGTAAGTTTTTATCATTATTGAACAAGACTTCTCATGAAAACCTGTGTGGAATGTTGATTTCCAATTCGAATATATAGCTGGGATATTCCCCTGATAGTGCATGATATTTTTAAAACGAAATCCAGCAAACTTTTTGGGAATAAAGTGTTCTTTGGAAGGTGAATTTAGGTAAACAGTTTCTACTTGACTTTTTACAACATAATCATCGAAACCCTGATTGATAACATTCTTTACTGTGTTTAAAAATTCTACTGTTCATGAGTAAAGATATAATCAGTTTGAAATTTGTTTGTTCTGTTACCACCACCTCAAGAAGTAGGTATTATATTCATAATAGACATACATTTGAAAATATACCTATAGGTATGAGTAAATTTTCAGTGAAGTGTAAAGTACAATATCTCATTATGTTCAGACACTTTACACTTTTTCCAATCTTCAAGTTATGAATCCACACCTTTCTCCTACCGATCACTTCCTTGTTTCCCAAATTATTAGTTTCAAATACAAATTTAGACTGTCCTGATTTTTTAAAGGAATGAATGCTATACTCGGGATTTTTTTGCTCAAGATGAACAATGAGGTACACAACAATAATGACTCATGTTTTTAAACGTTTATAGAAGTTCTCAAACAAAATTATAGACAATTAAAACACAACTACTTCTCATACAAAATACACGCAAACTAATGTAAACAAAGCAATCAATGGCCCATACGTTAGTTATATTAGACAACGGTAGAGGGAGTACTCCTTAGCATGAATCGCCTATAGGACCGTTTTCAGTATTTATCCGAATAATCGTGGGTAATATCCCGAGACCATGACAAATAGCCGACTATCATTCTCTTCATAATTCTATCGAGAGTACCTTGTATTTTGACAATTTGATGAGACCATATGAACATCAATAATCTGAATAACTCCCGAGAGCTTTGGCTAGAGGAAGTTATTCTATGATTATTTATGTTCATATGGTTGAATTGAATTGTCCCAAAATACAAGTTTCTCGAGATGAATTAAAGAAAATAATAGTCTTCATTTGTCATGGTCGAGTGATATTCAGGAAGATTATTTCATGAACAGTGTGAAAATACTGGTTTATATGAGTTTCAACATTTTATTCAAGTTATAATTCTGCAGATACTATTGGAATAAAAATTCTTATGAAGGCCGTATGGGGTATTCTCGTCATATCTACGTACAATTGTAATCAATTCATCTAAAGTTAGAGCAAAGAAAGAATATCAACGCCATTGATAGCGTTAATACACCTGACACATTAACTATTCACAAATCATTGGAGATTTTAGGTTAAAAAACATTATATTAGGAAAATATGTGTGAGTAGTGGAAACATTAATATAATATGAACCACGTTACAAGAATATTCTCGTATCTCTTCCTTATTCCCTTTGATGCTAAATCATCACTAGAATCAATATAGCTCAGCATAAAAAATGACATTGGTGAATAATTAAAAACTGTCTACTATACACTATGGGCGTCAGCCCACTGGATTCATTGGCGTAGTAATTTAGATTTTCATGGATGATTTTTTTCTTTCTCCCGTTAGTGATTCCGAATTTCCAAAATTTATGACGTGATTCATTGTGAAGAATGAGACAATGAGGTTTGGGAATGCTTTGTAAAATTTAGGCTCTCTTTGGTGCAAGTTGGTGTAAGTTTGGCTGGGGGAATAATACGCTATTGTCAGATGTACCTCACAACTTATGATTTGGAAATGTTTTCATGAAAACAAACTCTTCGACCAAAAAATTGAGTAGATATCGATATATGTTTTCAAAAAATGTATAAGCATCATGAATGAAGCATATCAGACAATATTATCGTCTCCAACCTCACCGTTCTTGATACTGATAACAATGGGAATAAAAAAATACTAACTGTAGAGTGTCATCTCCATCATTGAACGCATCATCATTGAAACCACTATAACCATCAATGTATTGCGAGGCCAAATTTTGCATCTGGTATTGGGAAAACAACTGAAAATGATCAATGGAAAATCAGTCAAAAATAATGCATTATAAAAACCGTTTTACTCACTTGTTGTTGCTGCTGTAATGCATTTGATTGAGAGAACATCACATCTCCATATTGTTCAGTATCAGTTGAAGTACTGGGATGAACGCCACCCTGAAACATACTGTTGAAAAAATCTGCCACACGCAAACATTACTGACGCGTAGAAGCTATGGAGAAACTAAGAGTCAAAATTTACACACTGAATTGTTTGATCATCTTTCTGACAGGATTTGTTTTCCATAATATTTCTCAAGTCAATCCTCAATGATTGAGGAATTGTGGGTAATTGGCTAGCAGACACATTTTTTTATTCTCAATCTTCACACTATACTACATTCCAACTGAGAATACAGTAAATGGCACTGCCTCTGAAGAAATGTTTACACCACAGAATTATATACTCACCTAGAATGCCAATACATACGGATGCGCGAAAACAAAATTACACACTAAAGATAGGTACGTGCTCTTCTGAGTTTGCGAATTGCGACAGCATCGACGCCTAATCTAACATGTTTTATGTCATTGTGGTAAGTATTATGGAGATCATAAAGGGTACATGAATTCTCCATCAATAACTCCAGGAAAGTTATCAAGAAAATATAAAACTATCTGATTCAGTGACTATTTTGCTAGAAAATTTCACAGAACAAACAGTTCGATATATCCACTTGGCAACAGTGTGTAAAATGAAGGGAGTTGTCATAGATGTCAAATGGAGTGCACAGGTCTGGTTCTGGTCACAGTTCACACTCGTTCACAGAATTGTGGTCTAGTTAACGTTTCATGTGATTCTTAACTGATTCATTTCATTAGTGAAATTTCATGAATATCATAGGAACTACGAATTTCTGTATGAATCCAAGAATTTAAACGTCTGTATGTTGATGAAAAAAAAACAGAATTATGGAGACCGGTCCTGACCTCATACGAATAACACGGTATCATTGTTGCATAATGCGCAAGCTCGATAAATTTTCCATGCATTGACATTCTAGGTGAGCATAAAATTCTGTGGTTTACACTCGTAAAATAAATAATGGCGCCTAATTCAAAATCATAGCCATTCTAATGGTTGAACTCCACTTTGAGTTCGTGTTTATTCTGACAAATGAATGAAATGTGATGATGTTATCATCTTCCCATAAAGAAAACTTGAATCCTTAGGTCACGTCACACATCACAATATTAGACAGGTGTAATATTGCCTCGAATATCAACCAATAAAAGCGAAGGTCAACACTTCCCTGTGGTCTCCAATGCTACCTTCTAAGTTGGAATGGACTATAATGCTTTCGATTTTACTAAGATATTCCTGGAATTTGTCTTTTATTTTGACACCAAACACTTCCCAGTACACAAATCCGTCAACAGGGAATTCGATATAAAATTCATGACAACAATAAACCACCCAAACAAGAGTAAAATCCAATAAAAGCCACCAAAACTCTTTAAATTCTTCAATCATCTCGTATTCACTAACGAAAGTCAGGTTCAATGCAAAACAAGACATTGAATAATCGGAATTAATCCATCTCTGCCATAATCCTACGCCAGACAAAATGACAGAGATACATTCTTACACATTTGTCAGATGAACTTCTAGGAAATTAATAATTAATTAATATCAATAAGTCTATGCTATATCAACAGATGCAAAAAGTTCAATAAGAAATATGAACTACATTCTAATGCATAAATATGAGATTTGAGTTTAAACATGTATAAGTGAGAATGTAATGTGCGTATTATCACCACTGCCTCAAGCACACTGGTGGTATCGGATTTCAGCGATTTCTAAGACTTGCATTAGCGTTCTAGGCTAACTATCATAAAGATATCCGTGGTTTTTTTTTTCTTATTATTTCTCCCTGGAAACCACGCGTCAACATTTCAATGTAAATCTTACCAATAGAGTTTCTTGGATTTTGTTTGTTTCACTCAGAGTAGTCTCCTTGAATTCGTCTAGATATTTGGCAACGTCGGGAAGATGATCCTTTATATATTGACCTAGAGCAGTGGTTGAACACAATTCTACTATTTTGTTAACAAGACTGATCAAATGACCCATATAGCCTTTGCGAACACCATTTTCTTGACTCCTGAAATTCAATTTATATTAGTGAAACTAACCCCAGGGGAAAGAGAAAAACTAACATTATAATATAATAATAATTTCATTTACGAATTCATATAAATAGTTTTACAGGTTTACAGGGTATATATAATTTTTTATAATAATAATAACTTTTCACAATAATATTTCATCATACGATACAAAACTATAATATACAACATTAATAAATGTAAATAAACCAAGAAAATCACAGAAGCTGTGCAGACAGCTTGTACGTGAGAATTCTGACTATATCCATTTATAAATATGTTTATTTTAGGAAACTTTGTGATTCGTGAACATTATTTACAAGATCTATACTATTTAACTATAATGTGAGTACAACAAAACTAGTAGGTATAAGTATGTAAGATGATTTTGTATAATTATATTGATATATTGTATTATATTTATGATGATAATTGAATGGATGGAAGTAAGCAGATATAAATTTTTTTTGTTATTATCTTTTATTGTTTATTAAATCATGGAAGAAAATTCGAGGAATACTATGAATCCATCTTTTAATTTTTAGTTTGAATATACTGAATTTTCCGATGTTTCTTAGTTCAATAGGAATATGATTGAACACCTTTGGTCCCATATAATCAAAACATCGTTGCCCGATAGTTTTTACGCATCTAGGTAACAGTGGTTGGTAAAATTTTGTCTGGCAAAAGTTATGAGTGAATAAATTAAGTTGCCAAGGGATGATTATATTAATAATGGAAATATAATAATATTTTGAGATATCCAAATGATTATTCACCCCAGGTTTACACGAATCCAAATACATGAAGAAGAATAAACTCAAAACGGAATGCATTATTTATTGCAATATACATCTACTATTGAGTACCTACTTCATTATCAACTTAATTTATATAGATTTCCAATAAGCCAACCATTTTGAATTACAGTACCACTGTTCTCTGTAAATATTCAAATAGTTTGTTCACGAACTGTCTGGATAGCATCTGTCAATTTAAATATACATCCAAATGTTTTATCAGTGTTACCAACCAGTTTTGATGTCATTAAAAAATAAAATGAAAATCATTGAGAAAAATCAAAAAATGGTATTTAGTGACATTTAAATTTTTAGGATTTGTGTGTTTTCACTTAGGGTTCTACAAGAATCTCAATTTGGTTCAATATTGACTTACTGTTGTTCATCATTTTCCTTCCAAGCGCCCAAAACTTTCTCTATCAATTTGCAATCAACTAACAACTGCAAAAAAAATCCTATAAACACAAAAAAACGAAATTTACACACATACTCACATGTTTACTAAGCACATTTGACTTTCCATCATCCTCTTCAAACGTATGAGTCTTCAGTGCTGATATAAGGCAATTTTCAACCTGGGTATGTAAAAAATTGTTCCAATGATATTTGAAAAATAGATCTAATAGTACGGAGAATGTCCCTGTCGACACAATCTTATTCAATAAGTCTTCATTATTGGACGATATCAGAGCGGCGATTAGCTTCGTGATTTGGAGTCGAGCATTACCTAATGGAGGATTCAAAGTTCCCACAGTAGTTACTACAGGGTTACTCTGAAACGAAAGTCAAACATGAGGAATTATTAGTGCCCAAACTATGAAGATAAAATTATGTCAATACACCCTTTCCCAGTATCACAAAGTTTGACCATTTTTCTCGATTACCAAAGTATTTCGCGCACAAGTTGCAAACAAATAAGTAATATGCTCAGCCTATTAAAAAAAAGAGTGTTGGACTGGCCTAAAAAGCCCTAATTATTGTTGAACGTTTAGAAATGAATGATTTCTTGGATTTTTGCTTGTTTGAGGACCATAAAGGTTAAAATACAAAAATCCCATATAGTTTACATCGAGCAAGATATCGATTGAAATAAAGTATACTTTTTCTGAAGAAAAAAGATGAAGGAATCAAACAGTGGAAGCAAAATGTCGAGTTTGTCACCTCTGTCAAAAATGACTCCATTAAACGGAAAAAATTCGCCCCATCCTGTATAAAACATTCGGTTTACATGCAAAGCGAATTATGTGTTTCGGGCAATATTTTACTTCGCACACTGTTTCGCGCAAATTGTCATGGTAACGTAGAAAAATGAAAAATAGTGTCACTTCGCACATTGTTATCAATGCGCGAACCTTGTCAATGTTTGAAGTTTATAGAAAAATGTGATGTTTATATCTGTAATGTTACTCTTATCGCGGCTAGAGTTCCTAAATGTACTTGACACTGCTGTTTTGACGTTTTTTTGTATATTAGAGTACGGACACTAGACAAGCAGTGACAATCAAACATAACCACAAACAATTTTGAAGCAAATCATATGTTTTGCCAGACAAGGACAAGAATATGTTTTCCGCCTAGACAAAGAATCCTCGCATCTTCCTTCCTCCACAAGTCCTGGGAAGAGTACATCCATATATCTTTCTCTGTCTTTGATTTTTGTATGAGCGTGCATAGCGTCTCCTCAAGTGGGTAAAAGGGTACGATAAATTGATTAGAAAATTATTTCTTCTCGAAATACTGAATGATAAGGCTGAAAGACCTCAATGGAGGTCGATATCAAGTTGGTATGTACATATATACCAACGAAATACATATACTATTCCTATGAAATAAGTCTCTTATATGTAGGTATATAAATATATATACGTTCAGTTGAATATTTTTTCATCACAAAAGTTCAGAATGGGGTAGAAACTGATAAATTTCAACCAATGAAACATACTTTTATTTCGTATGGAACAATTTCACTTGTACAAGAGTGGTAGGTAATGAGTAATCAATAAATGAACATGAATCATGCTTATATAAAGCAACATTTTTGCTAATATTATTCAATTTGTTATCCAAATCTTCCAAAGTTTGCTCAAAATCGCCTGGATATTTGCTTGTTCAATTCTCTTGTATTTCTCTGAAGATATTTGCTGATTTTATTTCAAATCTGAAATAATTTTTAGGTAATAGTTCTGAATTTTGCTAACTCTGACTTTTGTATCTAAATCTTTTTGCTTGAACTTATTTTCCAACTCTCTATTTTTTTCTTCTCTTTGTTTTTCTTTCAAAATATGTTCGAAATGAATTCCATCATCTGCAAGTTTTTCGTTTCTTGTTGGTTCTAAATTGGAATAAGGTTCTTTTCGATACCCGCTCAGTTTATAAATTGTGGGTTCGGCTCTTTCTTTCAATACTATCCTATTCTTCAACATCAAATCTTCTTTTCTGAAGTGGACCTGATAAAAATGCGTTGAAAAATCTTCTACATCCTACCAAGAAATTTGAATACCTAGCAAATTTTGTGCTTTGAACCTATATTCCATGCCGGCCGCATCATATTCTGTTTCCATTTTTGTAGAATTACGTTATCCGATGGAAATTCGAATAGAGTGAATTGATTTCCCGTGTTCTCACAATTGTAAACTGCAAAAACTTGCATCTTCCTCCTAATACTCTCAATTTGTCAAACCTTTGAAATTCATGTCATGTACGTCCGTGTACTGCCAGTTCCCGCTTTTTCCATCAATTTATTTGTGGTTAGGTCTGATTGTCAGTGCTTGTCATAGTGTCCGTACTCTAATATACAAAAAACGTCAAAACAGCAGTGTCAAGTACATTTAGGAACTATAATCGCGGAGATTTTGGCATTTTCAAAAAGGCTCATTCTGGAAATGAATTCATGCTTGCTGTTATTTCACAGTAGTTTTACCTTTGGTGGCTCAATCAACAACTGGTGGAAATCCTTCAATCTGTCCTTGATAACTTGAATGGTGTTATATATTATCGCATCGTTGTCACGCAAGTCATCATTCAAATGCTGACTACTAGATGAGCTAGACACGTCTAAGAGCGCTAGAAGTACTTGAATGCCGCCTACTATACCTGATTCACTCTTGTCATCTCCTTGCAACATACAGTCTAATAATAATGATACTATTTCTGGTCTGAAATAAAAATTCCAATTCATTATGTTACATAGCAATTACATATCGAGTTTTGTACTATACTTTTACGCAATTACTTCGAAGTTTTTGTTAATAATTGTTACATGATAGTTTTGAATCCATGGGTTTTAAGGCATGAGAAAGCATAATCTTTCACTATACAGAGTGTTTTATCAAGTACTTGTACTAACTTCAAAGGGTTGATCTGTGACTAATTTCAAGATAAAAAGTTCATATGAATATAAGTCTGCAACTACTTGATTTTTAGATACAGGACGCCCAAAAAATTTTTAATTTGGATTTTTTACATATTTTGATAAGAACTGGTTTAAAGTTAACTTTTGCGTTGGAATTTTTGAACAATAATCGAAAAAATGTATATTTAATTCAATCCTTGCGAGTTTGTACAATTACTTAATGAACACCCTGTATATTTACATGTATCGGGGGTAGCTTCCCTTCTCTTCTCACGTAGTTTTGTAGGAGTGGTAACAGAAATTATAGTCGTAGAAAAAAGGGTTTATCCGTATGTTCTGTACAGTTCTATATCATGCTAGATGAAACTTTATTTCACAAAAGTAGAAGGATTTTTACTAACATAATTTTTCATGAAACGTAGAAAGATTTTTACTAATATAATTTTTCGTGAAAAGTGAAAAAATGGCAATATTTATCATTCGATATTCGACAATTTGTTTCAATCTATCTAATCTATAAGTGTAGTAAGATATTGTAAAAATCCCTGAACAGAGTAAAAATGATTCAAATTCCAAAAAACCACGATACCATATTAATCACATATCATCAATGCCTTATGTAATTGCTACTAGCCAATCTATCCTTTATTAACGTCATAGTATTGGAAAATTAAATTGAAATATTTTGAGGAGCTAGCGAAATTTCGTCCAGAAAATAAAATAGTACAGTTGTATTGAAAAAAAAGCATACAAGTATATTAGAGAGAAATTAACGTCATTCTATTTGCGTAAAACGGGCTATTGGGGAGGTTTGTTTACCAAATATTGACAGTAAAGTTGTCATAGATTCTCAAAAACACAAAGCATCGGCTGAGCCAGTTTTACCAAACTAGAGCTAGGATAGCGTAAACTTCTCTTTTTAATACTTGTACACTTTTTTATTGATTACCACTGTACATTGTTTTATAAGGAGTGCAAGTGCTGTTTTTTGTGGCATGTTTATAAGTATGCTACAATTACAGTACTTGCTATTTTCCTTCCAACATTCAAGATTGAAGTTAAACTGTCTGGATGTTGATGAATATCATGTGCATCATTTTCTGTCAGAAATCTTATTGAACCTATACCGGGTGTCAACGGTATGATATTCAAACTTGGCATTGGTTGTAGATTCAAGAATGTCGATATTTCATACCCTTACGGGTCAACCGGAAACAACTCCAACTTTTTATTTTTAAATTGGACGTATTTTATTCCATAATCAGTTTGGGATTATGGTGAATTCAACCAAACTGGATTTGATAGGGTTATTTCAAACGATTACGACATTTGTGGTCGAATTTTCCGAATGTTCAACGCAATATCAAATCTTCTTCAAAACCAAAAATTTCCCAAATGTAAAAACTTCACAAACTATATGGATTAACGGATTAACTTGAAAGGGTTGATAGCCAATACATATTATTACCTACTAAGAAATCAAATTCAACAGTGGTGAACTATTGACGTCTAATTGATCGTGAGTTTGTTGATTTCCAATGATCCAAAATGATTTCTACGTGTAGAATTTCGAAAATATAATCAAAACTATGGTTTTCTTCTAATATATGGTTGCCGTATGTTGAATTTGTTTTCTATTTCAAAAAATGCATCTTATGTTCATGAATGCGCTGATTAAACGTACGACCTGTCTGACCGATATATACCTTAGGACAAGATCCACAGTTGAGTTTGTATACTCCTGATTTTTCGAATTTAAAAGTTTTGTCTTTATTATTTTTGAAAAAATTCTGAAATTTTACTTAACGATCAATTAGACCTCAATAGTTCACCACTGTTGAATTTGTTTCCTAAGTAGGTAATCATATGTATTTGCTATCAACTCTTTCAAGCTAATCCGGTACACTGTATTTTAATGTAGATATTGTGCCTAATTTCCGAAAATGAAGGTTTATCGAACCTGTCTACAGGTAACTAATCCTTCGAGTTGGGAAAGAAGGATATATACAAGTTAAGCAAGCCCATGTTGGTATAGTTCATTGTACCAGTATATCACCTGACGAAGCTACTGTGTTAGCGAAACATGTTGTGTGTTGAAGAATTTGGTGGAACTCTTATCGTTTGTGAAGTTTTTACATTTTCCATGGATTTCCATCAAGTAATGGCCGAGTCAATTTAAAATTTACCAATTCTCGAATCCTACCCCTGCCAAATTTGAATCTTATACCTTCGGAGCTCTAGAAGTCATGGCTTGTCTAATGAATTCGTTGACATCCGGTATAATATTGGCGAAAGCAAGATGCAGTACAATTCAAAATAGAGATTCGGATACCCGTGATACTCCTAGAAAAAATGTGACTTACGATTCTAATGTATTAAGTAGTGGGTCAGGATCAGCCCTTTCAGTCGAATTTGTCTGATCATCCCGAGCTATCCTGATGAAATCACACAATAATTGAGCAACGTTTTGGTGCCTATCTTTGTCAATTCCTGGACTCAGCAGAGAGACCAACAATTGTATGATTCTTTGACTGTCAAGCCACTGCAAAAAATCGAATAAGTCTCTGAGTCTACAGCAAAATTTTTCAACATCAAAAAGTATTCCTCCCAGAAATAATAGATGTTTTTGCAATTCACTCATATCAGGATAATGTAAAAGTTTCGGAACATGAATTTGTAGAGTAGAATCACAATTTTTATCTGTTTCATCTTCTTTCACTTTGAATTATCAAAAAAGTATAGTATACAGATACACTTGATTCTCATAAAACTTTCAACAAATGATGTACAAACTCAAGATTTCTGGATCACCCGTTATTAATTTCAGGAAGGAACAAATTTGATTGAGACATAAATGAATACCAATATACAATATTATTCTACTCACATTTCACCACAAATCAAATCGATTTTTCGAACTATGTTAGTATTTTCAAGACTAGAAATAATTATTCTAAAACTATTTCGTTGAGTGGAAAGAAATAGCTGAAGAATAAAATAGTATTACACAAGAGTACATGATAAGGTTCTCACGAGATTTAGGATAATTTATTAGGAAATTCAAAAAATAACATTTGGACATCCAATCAACGATTGAAAAAAAATCTAGTTCAATACAGGGTGTCCCTAATAAGTCTTTAGAAGATCTTAGCACATATTTCTGAGGTCAAACTGAGCCGACTTGAAGGAACTTACCGCTGTTCAAAATTGCTCCGTTTCTGAGATACAGGGTGGTGAAGATAAAAAATGAAAATTGACAAGTACACATCAAGAAAGTATTTCGAAAAATTCATCTCTGTATTGCCAATTCACTGATCAAATTACATCCACGAAGATAACAGTAAACATTATTTCGACTTACTTCAGCGGATTTTCACAAGAGTACCTTTTTTGCTTGAATGGTTAGTGATTTTTTTGTGAATTAGTTATAGGATATAGTTTCGTTACTTCTTTATCTCCATGTAACAAGTCCTATTTAAAATCATCGCGAATATATTTTTTTCAATAATGAAATTCGGCACCCTCGAAAATGCCAGTCTCGATGACGTCATGAATGCTTCCGCTTCCGTCACTATATGAGCTATGAGAGCAACTTAAGTTTCTACAGAATAGATAATCTTTTCATTAGAAGAGACTTCGTTGACATATTATTCATTTACAAGATCTTCAACAATCATATCAGTTCAACAGCATGCACTGGATTCCTGAGCTTGAATTGTAATCCTAGAATGGTTAGGAATAGACTTACTTTCTACCCACCTTCTTTCTCAACTAATTATTATAATAATTCACCTCTATTAAGATGTATGAACTCGTACAAGACAATTTGCCACTCTAATATTGATATATTTCACCTTGATCTCAAAAGATTCAAGAAACAACTGAAAGAATTCTTGTTGAATTTCTATAGTACTCCTTGAATATGAAAATATAGAAATAGTCAAAATACTACCTATATATTTATTTATTTATTTATTTATTTAACGATTTGGCGACCCAACAAACAATTTAATGCCAATAACAGGGTCGCTCGAAGGAAAATAATGGCACATACAATAAATCAGTCGTACTATAAAAGTAATAGCATGAGAGCAAAATACAACTAAAACAAAAAGAAAAAAAACCTGATTTGCTAAAAAAGAAAATGCCTTAATAGTAGTATATTTTCATGTTATGCTATAGATAAGTATTTTAATTTTAAACAATTTACATTCTATAGTTTGGAAATATTTAACTCACTGTCACTGCTGCTGACCCAGTATAGAGTATGATATAACTTTCAAGCTACGCAAGGTGATATATATATCAAAGAAAAAACAAAATACACAAAGTCGGTCGACCACAAATTATATTACACAATTACTAGTGTGACTAGTTTCGGCTAAACAGCCATCTTCAGACACAAATTGAATAAAGTACCTAGGCCATGTGTCTGAAGATGGCTGTTTAGCCGAAACTAATCACACTAGTAATTGTGTAAAATAATTTGTGGTCGACCGACTTTGTGTATTTTGTTTTTTCTTTGAAAAAATCAGATCCACTTTGAGAAGGATGGATGGTTTCCATGACTGATATATATATATATATATAGGTATATATAAATATATTCATATATGTTTATATTGTATATACCGACGTTACTGTTGTTTTCTTCAGATTATTTTTTGAATGAAAGTTATGGAATAGGTGAGTACTTAGTTTTTAAATGATAGTTAAGTAGGTGCAACCCATGTAAAGATAACAATTTTGTATCACTGTGTTATCCTGTTATTGGAAGGACTATTTATAGGTCCTCTGTTGGATAACCTTGCTTTCTAAATAAATAAATAAATAAAAAATGCTATTCTATTCTATTCATACTACTTACGTTCAAGATGTTTTGCCTCATCTCAGCGCCCTCAACTTCCGTCATCAGCTTGAGCGTGAGATCCATGACGGCCGAAGTGCCTAAGTGCTTGAGCAGTAATGATATAAAGGTGTCCTTAGCCTTTAAAAAGTCTAGGACCTGTAAGCAAGTGAACTGATACGATAGCCAGTTCTGGTGGGGCCAAACAGATGGATGAATTCGATTCATCAAGGATCAAGGCAGGGGCAGGAGAGGGAGAGAAGGAAAAGAAAAAATTTAGTGTTATATATATATTGTACACTGATATACTACATGAATCGATTTATAGCGAATTATTCTATTGGCAGGAATTGGTGGAGTGTTTCTCCACTGAGTTTATAAACTGGTCAACATTGATAACGTCGTGGTCCGAAATATAGCCTGAATTCAAAGTAGTATAACTCACGAATTTCCTTTTCAATTTGAAATCGATTTTCACCGATGATTAGCCTAATCGTTCGACAGTTTTTTGTGGCAAGATGAAACTTCTCTAATTCAAAATAACATTGCCACAGGGTGATAATTGAATGGGTGTAAAATTGCACCGTGGTCTTCACCTTACCGTTTGAACAGATAATTTGTTTTCTCACCTGTATCCTCTTGATTGATGCTTTCTCTCGAAACGTTTTTGGAATTTTCAAATTCAGAGCTTTGATAATCGTGTTATGAATATTCATTCAAAATGATGCATTTTTTCGACGATTAATTGAATGTAATTGGAATTCTTTTTCGAAGAATCAACCTTGTATGTATAGTCATCGGATATGTGATCGTGTTCGAACACAGGAAATTCTGAAGTGGTCTATACAAAGTGATACAAGAAATACTGAATGATGGAATGGAGAATAACGTAGTCTTCAGTAATGAAACATAATTTTCTCTGTGTTACTAGTGAAATAATGGTGTTACTTCGTCATGAGGATGTCTGGTGTCTGATCTCGAAATGGTTTTGTAATTTCTCGGATCGAAGGTCATATAATGAAGGTACGCATTTTTAATCAAAATGAAGCACTTTTGTTAAGATAAATTATAAACTTCAAAAAATTACGATTGTAGTTCCAGAAGTTCGAAATTTATATTTATTCTTGACGATGGATATACAAGGAGCGATAAAAAATATGTCCAGATTGTCCCGGGATGAAGAAGAATATGTTTAAACGTGAGGAAAATCGCTATAATTTCCTTACTTTAAATAGCGCAGTGATTTCCTTTCTCAAAAACTAAGATCAGACATGTAGAATGCAAAAAATGAGCAGCATATTTATATATTTATATCATCCAAATTTCCCATTGATGAATTCTATAGTCATTTTCTGATTTTCCGAAAATGCATATAATAATACTTTCGTCTTATCTTCAAGATACGCCACTGGTGTCCATTTACATTTCGCCACGAATTTTCAAACCGCTACTGTTTATGGTTCACTTACAGTGTTGTAGCTGATGCATGATTTGTTCGTCCGCCATATTGGATACGCATTCTAGTCGTAAGATATAAAGAGGATTCGACTTTTAGCCACGCTAGGAGAAACATGGCATCTCCAGGCCAAAAGTCAGGTTAATGTGTGTGCAAGTCCAACATTTTCTAATTACCTGATCTGGATTGAAATCCAATATTTTTAATGTGAAGGTTAATAAGTGTATGTGAGAAATATCAGGCTCTTTTATCTCTACGCCGGTATAGAGGCCGGATGATGACGGATTCATCGGATAAGGGGGCCATACTTGAAGTCAAACGTGCTCCATTATCTCTACACCGGTAACCAGGCCGGATCAGCAACGGATTTGATGGATAAGAGGAGAACATACGATCGAATCTAATGATCTCTGATGACTCGGCTTCAGGCCATTGTGATAGATAATCGGTGTCTTATGTGACGAGTCAATGATATTATTATAGTATAACCAAGTATTTATTCTTGAAAAAAAAATTACCTGATCTGGAGAAATTGTTTACAAAAGGAGACAGAAATTCAATAAACCCAAAGAGAAGATGATATGAAGATTATGAGTTCTGTGGTGCAAAAACACTCCACCAGTTCCTGCCAATGAAATATGCTATTAATTATTAAAGCAATGAAGCCAATGAGATGTGGGTTAATAAGTTATGATGTAACTGATTCTCCACCAAGAAAAGCAGGTACTTATTGTACTAAAGTATGACGAATTGAGTACTCCAACCACCGTATAGAAGTAAACACTTCTATTTATATGGTGCTCGAACTATATTAACACAATCAATCCCCAAGCAGTAAGTTTACAGGGTGTATCCGAATTCTGAATCTTGAAGCACCCTGTATTTTTCCAATGAAATTCCAGTAGATAGTGAATCAAAAGTTTAGATAGGGACATGTAAGCAGTTTTGATCGATAATGAATAGTTTGGACACAAAAAATCCTAAAATTGAAAAATCTCTATTTTGAACACCCTATATCTCTGTAATCATTCCTGCTAGACCCTTGATTAAATCAGTTCTTCAGTAAAAATCTAAAAATGCAATAAAATACAGGGTGTTCCATTTGAAATAACAAAGTTGCTAGTTGTTTCTGATGAAAGTGGCAACACTGTATCGATGAAAATATTTTAGACGGATAGAGAATGTTCAATTATCAGAGCATCCCAATTTTCAGACTGTTATGTCTTTTCGTTCTCCAAATATTTCTAATAGGCCATCCACCGTGGATCACCCTGTATATACACTGTCTATAAGGTATGGAATAAATTCGAAATTTCCTAAACTGAAATCCTCTACAGAAAGAATCTGCAACACGTCGATTTTCGATTTCAATTCAATATTCCATAATCAACAAAAAAAATTCATTGCACACAGGAAGGTGATGATATCTGATATCATCGGCAATTATGTATGTTACACCCTGTATTTTGTAACCCCTAGTATTATACATTTTTGGAATCAACTTATTTTTATTGTTTATATTATCTAACAATTTCACAAAATATAGAGTGTTACATTTGAAGAAAAAATGTTGATGGCGTCATCACCTTAATGCAATTAGTCTGTAAAATGAAATTTTGTGGTGAAATGGAGAACATCAAAATTAATCAGCTTCTACTTTAGGAACTATGGAATTCAATCCATACTCAACATTCTTGATATAAAATGAATTGATTCTATTCAGTGTTGAGTTCAGAATTTGAAGTCAAATATGATAACTGGTAGAACTTACAAAATGATTGTGACCTGGCAACAGCGGCGAAGTGCGAATGTCGAGCCGGCAGCAGCGTTGCCACATCAAACCATGGTGGGTAAAATCACTCAATTTTCGGAAATTTCAAAAAAAAATTTGCCATTTCAAGGATCGCTACAATTTCAGAAACACCCTGTATGAACTGCATTATCCCATATGAAATAACCAGGATAGTAATTTCCCAAGAGAATGAAGTTTCCAGTAGGTGAATGCTACCCTACCAGTGGGAAATTAGCATCCTATGCGAGTTATACACTATACTTTTTCTACGGCTGGAAGAGACAACAGTGAAATTTTGTGGTCATAAAATTTTCTCTTAAGTAATGCTCATCAATTAGACAGAGTAGTCATTGCTTGAAATTTGACATTCCATAAGAGATGAGATTTTGTGAAATAATAACACAATGAAGTCATTGTGATATCAGATACAGAAAAAAAATTGATGACATACAAAGTACCCATTGATTCATCAAACACAGTAAAAAAAGAGCAATTTTGTGTTAATGCTGTAGAAAAACATTATTTCATGATGACAGTGTGTATTATCATGTCAATGAGAGAGGAAAGTGAGTGGAAGTGGAGTAATTCCCTCCCCACCAGCTAAAGATGAATTGTAATAAATTGTATATTATTATTCATTTGTATTTATGGTTGCATTGTCTCCTCTCTGAGTTCAAGATTCTATAAATGAAGAAACACAAAATATCTTGGATCTGGGTTGAATGCTTTCACACACTTTTTTTATCTCTCAAAGAATAAAGAGATTATAAAGATTATATGACAATGAGTTCAACAATTCAATTTTACATCAATTGGAATAGTATTAACAATGTTATTATAATAATAACAACTTGAAAGTATTATGTGAGGCAATGGTTATCTTTATTTCCTCAAAAACTGTTTTTTTTTTAGTCAACAACCTCTAACTGAATTGATATTGTCTTGCACTCTCTTTGATGCATTTTCTGTGAATACCCATAGCTGTTTCCAGTGTCAAGACAAATTTATTCACTTAAAACAATGTTTTCTTCATTAACCTCTGTTATAGCTTTCTAGATAGCTTCATTGAATTGAATTGAATGAAATAATAAATAAAATTAGAAATAACACTTGATGAAATCTTTGATATTGCACCTTCCCTTGATCAGGTTCTACAAATCCAACTGAGAATCTAATCCTCCTAGAGTAAATGGCATTTAAAATAGAATAAGAATTATTTAGGGAAAGAGACTGCCCTCTCAAACAACCTAACCTCAACACAGTATCATCATTAAAACAATACCTCAACATTTTGCTAGAAAATGGATTGAGCTGAAATCCTGAGACATAATTAATACATGTTATGTGATGATCATAATGTTAATGGATTATGAATGGTTATTATATTGATCATGATTCTGTTGGACAATACAGGAAAACTTTTGTTTTCTGCTACAAAAAGAAGTAATACTGGAAATAGCAGCAAAAGCCAAGTGTCTTAATGAATCAGCATGCAGTTACTCATTGAATGGAACACTAACCTGCTCAGTCTTCCTTCTTGCAATAAGGGCAACCATAACTTTACTAAAATATGATGCAAGAAGGGGATTCAAAGGTGGATCACAATCCAAGAAAGTGTACAGTTTGTCAAGAAATACTTCATCACCAGCCAATCTTTCATTTAAAGCAGGAACATCACATGTTAGTAGCTCACAAGCTATGTTTGGATACTTAAATCTAGTCCTTTCTTCTATATCAATTGATGGTTCTTTTGTAATAAGTGTTAATAATTCATCCATCACCTCTGTCTTTTGTAAGCTAAAACAAATTATGTGAGTAACCAGATTCTTGAAATAGGATGAGATATACACACAAGTCTATCAATACTTTTGTCTTTACTCTACACTCATTTATTATATCCTCTGAATCCATAACTTCTTGTAGGGTAACATCCTGTAAATGAAAAATGTTATTGCTTTATTCATGTTATTTTTCTTTTAATAAATTGATACTTTACCTCTTTGGCCAAGAGAGCCTCAATTTGTGGGGAAGAGTTGGCATTGTGTTTCCAAAACATTATACAAGTATCTGGAAGTGAGAAGCTTGTTAAAGGAGATCTCTATATCAACTTAAATAAAGGTAGGTACTATAGATAATTTGAATTCGTTGATATAATAGATGGAAAATGAGTCATTATAACTGGCATATTGTGATTGAAACCGTAAAAGCACACCTTATTTAAAACTTTTATTGAAGACGTTGGGTTAGGTTCATTTGAAATGACCCCGTAACAAATGTTTTTTCGAATTTTCACGAGACACAAACACAAATTCACTAATCCTAAAGGGCATATCACAAATGTCACGTTAATTATGGTGGAAGTTGTGTACATCTATTAAATATTGAATCAATTTTTTAGCACAATGATAATTCTGACCACCATTCCTATCGAAAATGAACTTGGCATTTGCACTTGTTGAAAATAACTTGACAGCTTGGCGCGAAATTCAAACAATACCTAACTAGAATGTTTGCTGTAGATAACCTACCTGGAGAAATTATCATTTTATTATCTTTTATAGTACTTTTCAACTAATTTTCAACCATAATTGATATCCATTGTGAGAATTCGACACTAAAAATTCACTTGTCACTATCCAGTTGCCAAAAAATGATTAGAGAAAGGGACTTCATCATTCAATACGTCCAAGGTATTTCTAAGTTTTGAAAAATGGAATAGTTGAGTAGTAGCTGAGATATCTCGGTACGCGGTTTGGAAGGTCACCACCTCAGATAATTAGACTGCATCTAATAAGTAGACTGCTTTTCAGTGGTCATATCCCAGCAACACGAAAATCTCGTTCAAATTGCTCGCCTGAAAACGCTTCTGCTCAACGCGCAGGAACCTCCAAGCTGTCGTTCATGACTCGAGTAATGTTTCTTGGTGACCTTGATGTTCGCTGTTCGGAAACACAAGTAAGAGAGCCTTGTTTAGTAAGAGTGAGTAAGATATATGAGAGATCCTGCTGAAAGCGTATCATTCATTTTATTCCCTTCTATCTCGTAATAAGGCTCATAAGCTTATCTTCCTTATTTATGACATTAGACGTCTAGATAGTAGTTATATCAGTGCGCCAAGAGGGTGTATGATCTAAGGTGTCTACAGCTACAGATACCGACTGTCGGCAGGCTAGACATATTCTTTATTTTATGATATTACAACCAGGTCCGTATTCAAAAATATGAAGTTGAATAAAAAGAAGAGCGGCAAAACCAAGTTACTGAAAATTAAGGTTTTTTGAGCAACCAAATAGATGAAACTGATGTTCTTTTAGAACTGGTCGAAATATTCTATGAACATACTTAAATGAAACACAAATTCGTTGCGCCAATTCATAAGGTTTTATCTCTATAGTTTGAATAGTTTGATGGTGTCAGCATACATACATTAGACGTATCTATGTACGCTGATGGTGTTGATCAACAATTTCATTTGGTTGAAGCTAACATAATCATCAAAACACACCTACAAACAAACGAATATTTCATTATTTCAAAAAACCATTCTCCTGATAGAAACTCTTTTGAAAATAAAATTGATAAGATGGTAACAATAATTTATTGAAAGAATAACAAAATAATATGTGCTCCGTAGATATATTAAAATATATACATGCAAAAGTATGCACAAATAAGGACTACAAATCAACAAAATCTTCAAGACGTCAGGCTCTGACTTTTGGGAAAAGGCAAAGCTTTGCCACCAATCACAATGGAAGGACCCACATAATAACGTATGAGAAGGCTTGATCCACGTTTCAACTGGTTGCGGCTGGACAAATCAGACCAACAGTCTACCCAGGTACCATAATGAGGCATGAATTTCGGAGAACCAGCCATCAATCCAGAATTTGTGACTGACATACAATTGGAGACTACTTGGAATGGATATGTGATTGCAGTGGCCAAGAACTAAAGAAAAATCAAATTTATTGAGATAATAAAAAATTTGTGACTTATTTGAACATACAGTCATTGTTGCAGAGGTATAAACCTTCAGCTCTTTTTCCTCAATGATGTAGTGGTTTATAGCATAGGTTAAACTACTAGCCAACAACAGAGACAGGATGTCACCCAATAATCTAGGAACCAAACCACCAAAGAAACCTAATACTCCATTCTGTTGATATATTTCTCGTACAGAACCAAATAATCCACTGAAAATCATATTTGTATTGAGTTGGGTTACAATCAAAATTTGAGAAGTTATTGAAATTTTGTAATTTTGATTTATTTGTAACCAAAATCTGAGAAACTATAGATATATGCAGAATGCATGTGTGAATTCCTAGATTAAATTTCTGAGGAAAAAGGATATTCTATATGGGCCCAGCATTTTTATGTAGGAACTAAACCCTCCACTGAAAATAACAATAATAATTGAGAATCAAATTAACTACTAAGAACTTGAATAGTTGAATAAGAGTCTTTGTAAGTGGGCCTGATGCAAGGGAACATATATGAGGGTTAATACCATGGTTAATACATTTATATCTGTCATTTAAATTAAGAATTAACCAAATAATTAAGAAATTCTGGAGGCACTATCTAAAACATGAAAATTTGAATTGATATAAACCCAACATGAAATATAGAAATAATATGGCTATCATTGATGATTATTCTTGCTTTTTGGAAAATTACCAGGAATTCAGATTGTGGCAGAACATATTATATATTGAATTGAATACCTATATTTGGTTTCTCTTCCAACAAATTGAGCCATCATGCGAATGGTAATCACATGGAAAGGTTGACTGACAATAATAGCAGCTGTGTGTGTTATAACATCACATTTAACTCCTCTTATAAACTTTGCTCTCCTAGAATACATTTCAAGTTAGTTGTATACCTAGATGTTTTTTCACTTATTCAAACTAATTTACTTTTGTTCTTCAGTAGGCTCTTCTTCACTATCTTCATCATCATCATCATTGGGAGGTTCTAAATAATCCAAGAGCCTCTGAGTTGTGACTGCACTCAAAAGATTTCCACAAATTTTAGGGGTCAATCCCACATAACAACCTGACAGACCATCAACCGATTTTATGTGTTTGACTGAAAATGATATTTTGATGTTATAATAGCTTGTCAAAGTTTCACAATAAAAAATGTAAAAAGTGGTAGGTATATCCATATTTCACAAACTTGCCATATTCAAAAATGTTAGGTAGTTTGAGGGCTGGTTTTCCGAAAAGAGTTTTCGCTGGTCTGGGAGGTATTGGTTCATAACCAATCTAAAAATAATGCTCAATGAATGAAAAAAAATTGTCAAAATCCATTACTAACCTGAATGAGAACTTTGGCATACTCAAGTGGATGTGAGACGGTGTTAACAATGATTCTGATGGCATAGTTGGACCAACGATTCTCTTTATTTTGCTTTGACATTTTCAAAATTGAATATTTCCACAAAAAATCCAAAACAGTCGACAAAAATCCCACCCCAAAACGTCAAAACCAGCGGCCAAAGCCACCTCCTTTTTTACTGATGGTGTCTCAAGCTACGAAATCCGTATCAGTATATCAGTGATTCAGTACAAAATTGTTTGCAAGAACTGTTACCATTTGTTCACATGTGTTCACTCACGAACGTCTCTAGCCAGTTATTCATTAAGTAGTATGCTGCTGTGCTGCCGAGAATCTTAAGTTGAATGTTGAATGTTTATAAGTTATAGGCATCTTACTTAAGGTCTACTTAAGGTTATCAGAAGGTTATAACAATAAGGTATTGTATTATGAGGAAGAAACTTATCGTTTCCTGCTTGATAAGGGACTACTTTTGACCTAACTCTGCCCAAATGAACCTTTTTCCTGAAAAGTAATATATTTATCGAAAAATTACTTTGGTGGAAACAGAAGGTCAGATATGAGGAAGGAAAATATCGTTTCTCTATGATAAAGGCGACTTCTTTCAACCAAATACGTCCTGAATGATCTCCTTTCTGAAAAGTAATTTTTTTAAAAAATAACTTGAAAAAAATCATATAATAAAAGAAAATTGACTCCTCGCAGGGATTTGAAAGCTAGCCGCCGCCATGAAAGTCAGATACAAAAACCATGAGCTATCGAGCTACTCGAAGGTTATCAATGTTCCAACTGAGATGTTTATAAGGCATCTCGAAGAACATATTGTGTGTTGGCTTGTTCATCCAATGAGCCCAATGTGTTTGTCACAAGCAGCACAGCAGCATGCTAATTGAATGAATTACTTGCGAGATACATTTACGTCTTCTTGACTTGACCATTTGTCAGTTGTTGTCAGACTGTCATTGATCTATGTGTCCCATGTCAGTCGTGTCACCTGTCACCCTTAGTGACTTATCGGAGTGTCGGCTGTCATCTTAATTTTTTCCATCTTTGTAAGGTTATCTTCAAAGTTCAAAATATTGAAGACTTTTTTTTCATGAGATATTGTCGGGAATAGTTTCTTGTATAGTGCAAAATATGGTGAGTTTCGATACTTTTCATACTGTGATAATCAATTATCTCCCAAAATGTACCTTTACATATTGGCTGCTGACATGTGGATGCTCCTATGTGGTATAATTTTTTTTACAGAAACCCATCATGTTACAAGGGCACGAACGTGCTATAACACAAATCAAATACAATAGGGAAGGCGATCTCTTATTTTCTTCCTCAAAAGATAATAAACCAAATGTATGGTTTTCCCTGAATGGTGAACGCTTGGGCACATTCAATGGTCACCAAGGAGCAGTTTGGTGTATAGATGTTGATTGGACTACAACTAGGTTTATGTCTGGAGCTGGTGACAATACATTCAAAATATGGGATTGTGCAACAGGAAAAGAAATAGGAAATATTTCTACTGCTTCCTCAGTCAGAACCTGCATGTTCAGTTATTCAGCAAATATGGCAGTTTATACAACAGATAGGGCTATGAAACAACCCTGTGAAATGTTTATTATTGATACAAGGCTGGTTGATGACAGTATAAGTAACCAGGCCCCAATTTTGAGGATTCCCATTAAGGATGCTAGAATTTCATCAATTCTGTGGGATAATGTTGATGAAAGTATCATCAGTGGACATGAGAATGGAGAAATAACACAATGGGACCTCAAGGTAATTTCACATCTACTTTGGTTTGCTTGATTTTTAAATGAAAATTCATTTCAGACTGGTAGACAGATAAATTCTGTGAAAGAACATAGTCTCCTTATCAATGACATGCAATGGAATAAGGATGGCACTATGTTTATTACTGCTTCTAAAGATCATACTGCTAAATTGTTTGATGCAAAAGATTTGCTTCTTCTGAAGACCTATAAAACAGAACGCCCAGTGAACTCAGCAGCAATAAGTCCTATTTTTGAACATGTGGTTGTTGGTGGTGGACAAGATGCTATGGATGTCACTACTACCTCTGCCAGAGTAGGTAAATTTGACTCCAGGTTTTTCCATATGGTGTTTGAAGAAGAGTTTGGAAGAGTGAAAGGACACTTTGGTCCCATCAATAGTGTTGCTTTCCATCCTGATGGAAAAAGTTACAGTTCTGGAGGTGAAGATGGTTTTATTAGAGTTCATACTTTTGATTCTTCATACTTTGAATATAATTTTGATTATTAACTAGTATACTTCATTGTGAAAGTATGAATCCTGGAAATAAAACCATTTTATATCATGTTTCCTATGTTTCATTATATTTTGTATCTATATAATATTTCATGTATTGAAATTTGAGGCAAAAATTACAATGATGGAGGGAATGGAGAAAAAAGATGAAATGAAAATTATTGACTGGTGGTAATAAAATTCATTGTTGAGGAAAAATACAGGAAGATTGTCAAAATTACATCTTTTTAGGAAATTACTTTATTCAAACAGTTGGAATATCAACAATATTGATAAATATTCAAAGCTAAGATTCCATATGTAATAGTACAAAACAGCCTTGTTTCAGATTAGCACTTATAACTATTCACAATATATTATATGTTTAACTATTCCTAAAAAAATAGCCTCTTTGATAAGGTTCCACCTTCAGCTGCTTCCAACAATTTCCTCTTCAAAGATGGCTTCTCAATGTCCCTAATTTTTCTAACACTCTGTGGCAAAGGTAATTTGGATCCTAAAGTAGGTGCAGGTTTGTTACTAAAAAAAGGCATCTGCAAGCACTGAGAACATTCTCTCCTCTTGATGGGATTCAAAACTAAGAGACTTTCAATTAAATCTAACAGATCATCACCAGCTGCTGTAAATATGCTTTTGAGAGGTATTGGTGTAAAGGGCTTGAATTCCATGTAGTCAGATAAACTCTTCACACCAGGCCAATTATCTTCAGTCGGATTTCCAAACACACCAAATATCTTTGTGAGCTGATCTAGGTCAGATTCTCCAGGAAATAGTGGAAGTCTCAATAATAATTCTGCTAAAATACAACCAACTGCCCACATGTCAATACTTGTACTGTACTGTTTGGCTCCATAAAGAAGTTCTGGGGCTCTGTACCACCTTGTAACTACTTGGTGAGTATTTATTCTATTGGGAGATCCATATAGTTTAGCTAATCCAAAATCACCTATCTTCAGAATACCACTGGAATTGACCAGTAGATTGTTTGGTTTTAAATCTCTGTGTAATATCCAGTTCAGATGTAAATATTCAAGTCCATGCAATGTTTGTAACATATATGATTTGATATTTGCAGTTGTAAGTATTATAGTGTTATCTTTAATGATCACTTCCAGATCAGTATCCATGAAATCAAAAACTAAAGATACATTGGACATGTGCCCAAACACATCCAGCAGTCCAATTAAATTTTTGTGATGGAGTTCTTGGAGCAGCTTTATTTCCCTCAAAGCTGTTCTGTTGATACCATCTTGTGCTTCTTGTCTACTTCCAATTTTGATTTTTTTCACTGCTACAATGTTTTCCGTTTCTACATCTCTTGCTTTATAAACAGTTGCAAATTGACCTTCGCCAAGAAATTCAATTTTTTCATACCTCTTCAACTTATTTTCCATGTTCAAATTAACCATAAACCGCTTTCCATTGAAAATTAAATTTACATGTTTTGAGAATTTCTGAAGAGTGAAGTTAAAAAAAACTTAACCTATCAAAATACTACTGTCAATTAGTCTTCTTTTTTTATTGCCTCTCCACGGGGCTATTGGCATTAGCAGTTCGGACAAAACTCTTACGAGTCTTAAGACATAATCATGATGAAACCAAACAATGATGGAACAAAACTATATAGAGGCATAAGTATGATAGGCTTTGGGCCTTGACTGCCTTGAGCCATGATAAGACATAACCTTGATGAAACATGATTATGAGAGAAAAACCGAGACCATGTCATTTGCCATATTCTCAACATTTTCTCAACATTGACCAAATGTTCGAGCGAGTGATGGAAAGGATGCTAAATATGGAAGAAAATCTAGTGAGCTAATCTTCGATTATATCACTGAACTATAACCCCAATACAACAGGGGTTTGTTGTTCCACCGCGAACATCAACTCTCAGCTCAGACAGTCTGAAAGTGACTGATCTCTGCTGAAAGCTGAAAGTAGTGTAAATTGATGTTCGATGGTTGTCACAGATCATTGTCTGCTAAATATGGAGAAAAAAATCTAGTGAGCTGGAGTATCTGGTCTGCCCAAACAGGGGAAATCACCTACAGCGTTCTGTGGCCGATACAGTAGTACCGCCATACGGTCAACTCGAGGAAACACTCAGTTCAATTGTTTTCCTGTCAAACCTACATAACCTTAAAAATCGTTAATGAGTTGAGCCTCGCTCCCTCTCAGCGATGCTCTCGGCAGTCTCGGCCGATGGCATAGTTTGTTTAGTTTTAGAGTTGAGTTCAGTCACGACATTCGGACATTCACGGGACACGGTCACTCAGTCACTCAACAATTCAAAAATAGTTCACGCAGATGATGGAGATATGACAAATACGTAGAGACCGAGCCCCCTTACTGGCATACTGGCCCTTACAGCCCTGGACGAAATACGGGATTCTGTGCATATTGATCATGATCATGATGGTGTGAAACGTGAGAACATAAATAGTGAAAGCAGCTCGGAAAGCAGTGATTCCTATTTTATGGTCTGTGCAGTTTTTTGATGTGCTCAGCTGTGAATCAATTGTGGAAATGAAGTTTTTCATCAGCAATAAAAAAAGTGTGTTTAAAAGTGTTTTTAACCGCCAGCTTAGTTGCAAAGCAACCCTCGAAAGTCAGAGACTTGTGTGAGTTAAGAAGACGGGGACCTTAGCTTTTTAAGTGTCATCCGAAGCACTACTCGGCTGGTAACCGTGGACAGTCCAAAGGATTGATATCTAGGTACCAAGAATGTTGGGTTGGCCACCTATCTCCTCCCGCCCAACGAAACTACCGAAAATTAATTCAGTGCTCGCGCCGGGGATCGAACCCGGACCGCCTGGGCAACAGCCAGCGACTCTACGCTCACGGCCACCAGCCGGCAAATATATGGTTATAATATAAAGAAAGGAATCATGAAGAATCTTATCCACAGATCTTATTTTGTATCTTGCATGAATACTACCTTGTATGCAGGAAAACATATTTATCAAGGAGAAGATCCACATCTTTCAGATTAGAAACTATGGAAACTCAAGGAAAGTATAATTACTACTGCTTCAGTTTTCTGCTGAGCCTTAAGAACTAGGTACCTAGTGAATATACAATGTGAGAAGTCCACAGTAATTGAAATCAGAAAAAGGCCCCAAATATGTCTGGATGTTGGATTGTGACCATTTCTGGAAGGATTTTTGTTCACCTTTATTTATTGATGAGATAATATGAGGAGACAACTCTATAATTATCTAAGGTTTGACTAAAATATAATACCTATTCCTATAATTTTAGGGGTTCCTATAACTTCTTATTTTCACATATTTTAAGTACTCATGTGAATATTATTAAAACCTTCAACCTTAAGTTGAATCTATGAGAATGAGTTTGAGTATAGTTCCAATCCTACAGGTCATCATGAAAGTGAATAATGTTTTTCATTATTGTGTTCTCTACCTGCTGATGTACCTACCCATTTATTTTATGTTTTAGGTTTGCTATATTTGGTGATGATTGAAAATCAAGTTGAAAATAACTAAAATGAGATGAGAAAGTGATGGCATCACTTTTATGAGTTGAAATATCATATCACTGCTGAGAAGAAGAGAATTGCTGCATCTAGGTATGAAGGTACATATATGAGTAGAATTTTAACTTTTGCACTATGAAATCCCTGAGACATTTCAGATACTGATTCCAAGTTAGCTTCTCTCAAGGTTTCACTAGCAGACTCATGTCATCGAAAGGTTGGCTTCAGAATGAGAAATGGAGGGTTTATACAGGGTTTCCCAAAACTCAACGTCATTCTTCAAAGAGCTGATATTGAAGCTCAGAACTGAACCAGATTATCACAATATGACCTCAGTAGATTATTGAAAGTTTTGGAGATATTGCCACTTTTATGAATTCTGTGAAAATAAAATCTTTGATCAGTATTTTTAGTGCCACAATGTACAAAACTAAGTTCAAAACTGATTCTATTTTTTTTATGCAACCTGTAATAATAACCCTTCTATTGATTACAATTCAAAATGAAAATATTGGTGCAATACCTATGGACAAAAAAAAACATGCTGATTCACCAGTTGATTTATTTTAATGTTTACAATTAACATTCACCTATTGAAAAGAGATTGAAAGTGTAAGGAAAATGATCATTAAACAGCTTAAGAACACTTTTCAGATCTTTGTTTCAAAGGTTATTGAGATTTATGGGATATATAGTGAATAAATGTATATATTCATGTATATTTTTTTATGAGGTTTCCTGTGAATAAATGAAATAAAAAATAATTAGCTCACTCAGGCTGGTATTGCATAATTCTTTTCATTCTGGATTCATTTTATTTTGAAATTCTGGATTATAATCAATAGGTCAAAGGGTTATTACAGATTGCATAACAAAACTGGAATCATGAACTATGTAGTTTTGTACTGGAAATACTGATCAAAGGTTTCAATTTTCACAAAATTCAAAACTATCATTATTTTACTAAGGTCATATGAGCTGGACTATCAGCCCTGGAAAGGATGACGTTGAGTTTTTGGGACACCTTGTAAAAATATAGTTGACTTACTTTTTAGGAAATATAATTCTTGATCATTTATTTTTTCCAGGAATGTACCTATTTCTACTCTACAACCAAATGATTCAGAATCAAAAATTCGCTGTTTTTTAGGTATACTATTGCAATGGATTCAAGCAGTTGAAGGGGCAAGTGGAAGAAGAGGTCAACATTTTCTGAAAATATACCGTTTAGTCATAGAAGGTACATATGTAATTTGGCCCTCAGGATTTGTTTGAATTCTTCATATCTGAGCAGATACACAGTGGTAGAAGGTGCTGTTACATTAAACATCGAGGAATCAATAAAAGGAGCTATATGTGCCCATTGTCTACATGTCAGGTCAGGTTGGAATAGAAGAAGGGGTTATGTAAGCATAAATCCAGATGTCTATCAATAAATGATATGTTAGCACAATGCTGTGAATCATGAAAAATCATCCTACAACTATTCCTCACAATTGCATAAATCAAATTATTAAACTAGTTTCCATCAAAAAATGTCAGCTAACTTTACTAAACCTATTTCTCTCACAAACTCATATTTGTGACAGAACTCCTTCTTCCACTTGCTGCTTCAATTGATATTCCTTTCAAAATTTTCATTACCAAAGGAATGGAAGCAACTAAATTCAAAATTAACTTGAACAAATACCTGCTCCAGTGATACTGAAGAAGCTAGCAAAGCCACTCACAAATTTGAACATGAGACACATCTCATAATTTTTGGCTCATTTTAGGCTTATTTATTATCCCATTCCAGAATATTTTGCTCCTCCATATCATAGGAAAATCTGTAGCTTTGCTAGCTCCTGGCGAACTCAGCAGAGCTATTTTTGAAAACATAGATTTTTTACCAATTTGCTATATTGGGGTTAGATAGCTTATTCTAGGCTAATTAATTACCCAATTTTCAAAATTTTTGCTCAACGTTTTTGTGGAAATGTGCGTTATTCACTAGGTATTTATGCATTTTTATGAAAAGCAAATTGAACGATGATTTTAGGAGGCATAGCAATAGTACCTATTGATTATAGGCTATCTCATTTTTAAAAGAAACCTGTTTCTTTGAGCTTCGGGCAAACTCAGCAGAGCAATTTTTGAAAAGAATATATTTTTTACCGATTTGATATAGTGGGATGCAAAGGCTGAATCAATTACCCTTTTCAAATTTTCTGCTCAACGTTTGAAAAAAAAAATTCACTAAGACATTATATATATAATGCATTACTGTCAATAACATATTTTTGATTGTGGCTCAATAACTATCCCATTTTCGAATTTTTTGTTGCATATTTTCTTAGAAATGAAAGATGTCTAGTGAATAACGCGTAATTCGACAAATTATTTCGGTTATTTTTAAACGTTGAGAAAATGAAATTGAAATAGCATAATCAATCAGCCTGAAATTAGCCTTTGAATCCCAATATAACAAATCGGTAGAAAATATATTATTTTCAAAAATTTCCTGCTGAGTTCTCCCAAAGCTAATAAAGCCACAGGTTTCTTCCAAAAAATATGCAGCAAAAAATAAGAAAATGTGATTGTAACTGAGCCTACAATCAATACTAACACTTAAAAATTAAAATATGGAGAAAACAACGAACTCACAGTCGGTCGACCACAAAATTTAATATAAAAATAATCAACGTGTGACTATAGTTTCGGCTCTACGGCCATCTTCAGACACAATGAGAAAAGTAGCTACTTGAGTAGTATAGTCACACGCTGAATATTTTTATAATAAATATTGTGGTCGACCGACTTCGAGTTCGTTTTTTTATCCTGTTGAAAAGTACTGGACCACTTTGAGAATGGATGGTTATGTTTATTCAAACATGGTTTTGATAGAAATGCGAAACACATAATGCCCAGTGAATAAGGCATATTTCAACAAATCGTTTAGTTTTTTTTTTCTGAGAACGTTGAGCAAAAATTTTGAAAATATGGTAATTAATTAAC